ATATTTTTACTGCAGTATTTTAACGTTTTCTGCAAACTTTCTATTTTCTGACAAAGAAAATCTTAATTTTCTATGCTAGAGAATTCTCGCTGATATAAAAAGAATTACCACGCGCGGGTGCTGTGGGTGCTTATGAATGTGTCTTCTCGATTATCAAAACATAGCGTACTTTTAAAGTGCTTCAATCCACTTTACCCGTACTTTGCAGGAAATGAGCACTTAAACGTGTTGTTTGTTATCATAAGAGTGTTTCGCTGCAGTGAAGGGCATTTTTGCTAATTATGAAATTTAAACTCAGGAAGACACATTCGCGACAGGATAAAAGAACCTTGGATCGTAACTTCAAAACAGCGGGAACATCAGCTCTAAAAAAGCATGGATCATAAGGCGGCTCTCGTTATATTTATTTTAGCTGTGCTTGTGGTTGAATGCCAAAGTTTGGGAGCTGGCGAAATGTTTCAGAGATATGGGAAGAAGAGAACTGCTAAGGTATGGACATTTTGAAAATAAATAAGTTTGATCAACTGTAAGAACACAGAAAAATTGTCAGTATGGAGGGCTTCCCTTGTCGTTTTACTGTCCAGCGGTTTTAGGATATCTTATAAATGAAGCTTTAACTTTTGCATCGGTAGACGAAAATCTATGATGTGCTATTTGAATAAAATTTCTCTGACAGTTCCGTCAAGTTGTACCATCGTTTGTCAGAATTTCAAAAAATACGGTTAGAAATTTTTCTTTTATCTTGGCTTGGACCACATGGGCCAAGTGAAGGGAAATTTGGAAAAAGGAATTTATGAACAGAAAATGCTAGTTGATTTCTCTTTTCTAAAAGTCGTTTTTTAAAAAAAATGTTTTTTAAAAAAAGGACAGTTTACGTTACAACAGGAGTTAAATTACACCTCACTACTAAAGTTTTGAAACCCTTATTGCCACCAAAAAATACGGCCGAATTCCTTATTTTTACTTTTACTTTCGCAATTTTAGCCATTCCACTTAAAAATTTCTCGTAAAATCAAGGAGGCGAAATTTGATAGCCTACAGTTCTATTTCCTGGGAATCCATTTGAAGAAATTGATGCCACACAAATTAAATTCATTTTAAATTCAATTTAAATGCATATCACATAAGCTCAGTCACTGCACTGGAGATCATTGTAATATATAATGCTGTGCTTTAAAGCCACCAAAAAATGCATCTATTAAAAGTTTGGTTTAAGTTTAGGGCAAGATTATTGTTACGGTTAAGGAATTATAAACTTTGGCCCGAATAAATAAAGACTGAAAGTTTTTCACGATAAATTATTTCTTTTTGCACGATTTATCTGCCAAATCGCACGTACCCGGTTGTTAGCATGTACATGTACACTGAACTTCATGCATCGTTGTCGTCGCTAGGCATACTGGTGTTCTTTCTCACTGATATGATTGTCTTTCGATTTTTTCTTTGTAATGTCCTGTTATAACTTGCAAGGGACACGTCTTTTGGTAATTAATTTGACTTAATTTATTTCAGGGAACATACCAACTACATCTACAACGGAAAAAGAACATTTTTTGTGAAGTTTTGAACAAGTACTGCGCCACTGATCCCGAAGAAAGTGAAGATTCAAGAAATCTTGGCATGAAGTGATAACAAAGAGAAGTCCAGGGAAACAATTTAAAAAGTGCTTGAGGTCAAAACATAACAAAAAAAACCAAGAACTACGACTGAGCAATAAAAATATTCTCTTATCTAGTAACACATGACGTTTTGTCCTTGATGTTATAATAGAGAGGTTTAGATTCCAGCGAGTACGAGACAACGAGTACGAGATTTTCTCAGTACTAATTAAATGGTGCTCGCGCGTGAACCGGCGTCATTTTGGCGGGAAAAAGTGGTAGCCGTCGTCACTTCTCGCCACTCTACTACGAGTTTTAGCGAGAATGTCGAAGTGGCGGAAACAAGTTATTAAATGTTAGAAGTTTTATCATTTTGCGATCGGGAGAGGGTGTAACCTCCTTCACTTAAGGTAACAGCGCTAACTTTTCTAGTGAAAAATGGTAAAATGAAGCTTTCCGGGGAGTCTATATTTTGAGAATACGCGAAAAAACTTTAAGTCGAGTCTCATACTTGTAGTCGTCTTCGTCCTGAAATCTAATTAAGATCTCTAAAGGTCTCTGTTATCGAGTTCACAGTGATGCGCAAAATGCAACAAACGAATCTCCATTTTGACGGGGTGCTGCAAACACGGGCAGAAAGTGTTTTAAAAGAATTGAGGGCAAGCTTCTGTCGGATGGCTTCTAAGAAGTGCGTGCTATACCTAGTGGAGAACATGGCGATCACTCTCATATATTTCTCCCAACACTCTGTCTTTTTCAAAAACACAGTAATCCGTCAGGATGCAATTTTTTTTCCGGTGCATCGGAGAAAAAAAATGGTGTTTGGGTCTTCTAGACTAGAACCACAATCGTGGCAGATTCCAAACCCCTCAATCCAGAACATTAATAAGGAAGCTTTGACTATGAGGACTTGTAGCACGTCACTTGTAAACTCTTACTGTGTCCACGTGCTGTAGTGACGTCATATGACGTGGTATTTAATACTTAAGTCATGATCCGGGTAAGGTGGATAGCAATTTCTTTTGTTATGCGGCAACGGTGCTTTCCCCAAATAGGAATGTTCTCACTTTTACACAGAGAATGCATAAACCTACATGAAGGCCGTTTACGCAATAAAATGCATTTACACTCCACTTTGAAAGGGTGTTTTTTTGTGTTAAAAGATTTTGACCAATCATAAGAATTGAAAACAATAGCCAAGAAAAGTTTACAATTTTACATGTTCCCCACATAGGATTTCTTTTTTATTCAAACTGAGACCAGATTTTGTTATATGGAAGATGGCTGGAAAGTAAGGATGAATATATGTACTGCTTTATGAAGTTTTGTTAACTTTTGCTGTTTAAGCCATTCAGAAGTAAGTACAGACAATAGAAACGTTAGCACCTTTTTTGCATTCCAACATGTTCGTTGCCGTTGTTGCTATCGTTCTTATCTGGACCGTTTCTTAATGCCTACAGATGATCGCCATTTTGAATCCGCCATCTTGGATCTCGATTAGTCCTCATTTCCTCATATGAGTACAGGACTTTTTTTCGACAATTCAGCCATAAGGGAGGGTGCTAAAACTCATTTTGGCTACATTTTGTGATGGGAGAGGAGGTAGGCACTTTCTCAAGGGGGGAGGGGGGTTACTTGGCAGTTTGGTCGGGAGCACACGCGGTTGGGAGCCTATTTCCATTTGCACATCTCCCTTAATATACCTTTCCCCCACCTCCCCCCCCCCCCCCCCCCCCCCCCCCACAACAAAAACTTTGCACCCCTTTTTTCTTTTTTTTTTTATTTTTTCTCTGACATTTCATCTCCCCCAGGGAGATTGGTGAATATTGTGATGCAAGGTTTTTTTTTTTTTGGGGGGGGGGGGGGAGGGGGGGAGGGACGGAGTACAATTACCGAAGGGGGCAGGGGGGTTAGTTGTGGTATTGGGCTGGGCAACCCGGCGGTTGAATCCCCTTTCCTTTTTCCAATCTTCCCATAAGATACAACCCCCCCACCCCCCCCACCGCCTCCCCCCCCCCCCCAAGAAAGAAAACTTTGCATACCTTTTTGAATTTTTGCTTCTAATTTATCCTGGACTTTACAGTCGCCCAAGAGAATTGGATGACAATGCTTATGCAAGTCTTTTTTTTTCAGGGAGGTGGGGGTGAAGGGGTGAAAGGGGCAAACACACAAATTTCGTGGAATGTGCTAATTAGAGGTTTGCTGTTTTTTCGAAGATTAGTGCAGAAAGGTGTCAAAATTTATGTAAATGCGTTTGTCAGTACGCAAAAAAGCAAAAAAATCCAATACGGCTGATCTAAGATGGCGGACGTTTGGAATTATGACGTAACAACCCGCAGCCCGTTACCTTGAGAAGAGTTTGCAATTTTGCAAAGTTGTGATCTTACAGACGCTTGAAAATTAAAATTGGAAAATTTGGCAAAAAATATAAGCCAAAACTGCAGGGATTTCGGTAGCATTTGGAAGTACCGTATGCAAAGGTTCAGCTGGCGGACTCGCACCGTTCGCACCGCAGCCCGCAGGTGTTAATGTTGAGTACCGGAGTAAAAAACTTCCAGGGTGGGGGGTCCGGGGGCATGCTCCGCCCGGAAATTTTTATAATTGGACACTCTAAAATGCAATTTCATGCGTTCTCTGGATCGAAATCGGTTAACCGGCAAGACATTAATAAAAAGCTCACAAAAAATGAAACATTTGATTTGGCAATTATAACCGTCGGTTTGCAGTTGTTTGTTTTTCCCTTTTCTTGTTAATAAATGAAAAAATGAAACGACCTTCGCACTTCAAAAAATAATTATTTTGTGTGTGGACTACCGGATGTTATACTAACAACCAGACAGTGTCCTGCGCCCGGCTTAAAACGAAACCCCTGAAAACCGTTCCTATGGCGGAGGGACGCTATCTTTCAGTTAATAAGAAGGAAAATTATTAAACAAATGAAGAAGTAGCCAAGATAAGATACACTAAGAAACGAATTTATTATTTCCCCTTAACAGCCCTTTATTCTATAAATTCCTGAGTTAAATTAAGGATAAATAAACTACGTGCCACCCTTTATCCGCAAATAAATGTTAACAGAGCTTTACAATTATTCGCTTTTACATTTCTGGGCATTAAGTCGAGAATCGTTAATTTCTAGCCTCTTTCTCTTTTTTATTTTGAATTTCCTCAGTACCAAACTCCTCTTGTAAGATGTGGAGGTGGTGAGCTGCTAGGTTGAGTCTTCTTTGGTGTATATCTTACATCGGGCATGTTATTTTTTCCCTGAAAGATGCAGAAATGGATGTTAAGGCATGAAATAACCTACGAATCCATGTGTGTTATCGACCAAAAAATGAATGAACAACGAGCGTCACACGCTGGGGAAAAAACGAGACTTGTGACCCGTTTGATATTCACCCTTTAATCACACTCCCAATCCATGAAAGGTGCCCCGTACCACCGGGGTGTATGTCTCCGTCTCCGACCGGGAATCGAACCCGGGCCTTCCGCTTTAAAGGCTGGTACCCGACCGATTAAGGTAACCCCGCTATAACAATATCCCTTAAAACAAATATGGTTAATTTATGAATTGCTTTGACGCAAGACAGCAGGAGATGAGTGCTGGGCTAAACTTTGCCCAAATGTGCCTCAATAAATAAACAAAGAGCTAAAATTGTTATTGCACAAATTGGACATTAAGGGTATTGGAGATGGGGGTGTGTGGTGGGGCGTATTTTCTCTCACCCCTGGAAAAAAACGAAGGTGGAACCTCTAATTCAACTCCTGGTTGTACACTTTAGCACGGTAATTAAGCAGGTGTTTTTCTAAGGATGGGTGAAAGATGATTTTTCTAGAATAAGATAACCAACTAGTTGTATTGTGTTCATCACAGTTAAGCTATTTTTCCGACATGGCGACTTGGTATGTTACTTTTTTAACAATATGTAGGACACGTACCTTCCCTGGAATCTCAGCGTTTCTCTTTTTGCAGTTCTGCGGGTTCAGTTGACAAAATCCCGGGCTAAATATAAAAGGACTGGACATAACTTCATCCGCAAACAACAATCCCAAAAGAATCACAACCATCGTCATTTGAACCAAGCTTGGAGAACGTGATCGCATAATGTCTATCGTTAGGTAATAAGAAATCTCTATATTCTTTTGTTATCCAAAAACGGAGAGACTGAAGAAGCTGTTGAAGGCATCGGATGGAGGGCTTTCTTTTAAAAGCACTCGAGCCCAACACGACATCTGATGACATGTGCGTCGGTCGTTTTCAACAGAGATGGCAAAGTGATTTTAAAGAGTTGTTTAAGAAGGCTCTCGACCGCTCAAAATGTTTTAGCCTCAATTATAATTTTTACGCCTCTCTCAGCCCACGCAGGTCGAGAGCTCTCTATGGTGTGGAGGGTTAACGTAAGAAATCAGCTACAATTTCCTCGAAATCCTCCGATCCTAATTTTCGCTGCTATGACTTCGAACAAAAAGTTATATCCTTCGTCTTCAAAACTGATTTTAATACGGCCAGCACACATTAGAGTGAGAAGCTGTCAGGTTACTTTGAATAATTTTTGCTGCATGAATTTGCAAGCAATGTCCTCTGATTCATAATCAAACGGATCACACATATCAGTTACTTCTCATGAACAAGTCCTAAGTTTTGTCAGTTATACTTCCTATAAAAAAACGAAATTACAAATTAATTCAATCTAAAATCTCTAAAGCTGAGAATTATTAGCAGGCAGGTTAATTCAATCATAGTGTTTTCCGATTCGGAAATTGAATTCAAAATTACTCAGTTAAAAGCACCGTAAACACAGAGATCAACTGCATTAATGGTACTTTTTTCGTCAGTCGGGGCACTTCTAGTCTGGAGGATGAATTTAACTTCCGTGTTTTTATTCAGCTCGGTGACAAACACTCATTTTGGAGCTAAATGTTTCCTCTTTTCCTTCCTCCGGTTGCCTAAGCAGTTAGGTCTTCTAGTGTTGATTCGAGAGATAAATCGAGTCCTTTGTATTCGTACTTAAAGTCGCTCATGGTGTAACGCAATTCGAAATTACTTTTGCTTTTCGAATAAAAAAAGTGACGTTCACGAGAGAAAAAGACAATCAGGGTTGTCCTCAGTTTCTGTCGCGCATAAAGCAAAAAAAAGGACATATTTTTCACACACATTTTTAAAAAACTCCCACGTTTTAGGAACAAATGCTTTCAGTAACATTAAAAGGTCAAAATTAAAAGGGAGAAACGTTTCCGATCCACGGAATGAAAGCTGTCCCCACGCTTTTCATTTGATTGCCGGAAACAGCTTTGTTTCCGACGTCGACATTGACGTCAGTTGCTCTAAAAAGCAGTTTCCGGGCTCGTTCTGCTTCATATTAGATGGGTTAATCAAGCATTCGATACTTTTAATCAGCCCCTTTAGGGACTTAAATTTTCAACGTGATTGTGATGTCTCAGAGCACCGAAAGAAAGAGGAGAAATAAAAGTATTCATCCCCCAGTGTTCAAGTATATTGTCCTCTTGGCGTCTCCATCAAGTTGAATTATAGCATGCAGGAAAAGATATTTTCTCAAGTGGGCAGGTGTTTTGCTTGCAAGAGGAACGAGGACGATTGACTTCCTCTTGAAGGTTCAAGTCGGTACCCTTAACACGTATTTTATCAAAATTCTAGCACTAGGAACTGCCACCCAAATTGAGTGAAACATAAAAATAATCGATCAAAACATTCAAAGAAGGTACGTATTGATAATACAAACTGAGTAGGGACGGATGGACGCATTTAAAGAAGATAAAAACGGACTGAAATTGTGGGTTTTTGAAAACTTTTTAGCCTAACAGTTTTTCAGTTTTTTTTAATTTTTCACCTTGTTGCTTGTAACGTCTGATATAATGCTTGGCAGGTATATTTGTTGGAAAAAAGCTGCGATTTTGTCGTTTACAACCACTTTCGTCGTTGATGTTGAGTTCCATAGTGCACAAGGAAGCGTTATTGTTTGGCAATATTAAAATATTAACTAGAAATCCGCATAAAATAACATAATAGCTTCGAAAGCTTTTGAAATCAGTTTAAAAAGCCATATAAAAGCCTCTATAAATGACCGCATTATTTCGACTTTTTTATGAAGAGCAATATTGTTGTGAGATTTTTTGCCGTGTTCACAGAAGAATTTTTAAAAAATCCAACGGTTATGTTAATCTTTGTCTCAAAACCGCCTCGTTTCCTTTTTTTTTTGGAAATGTTTCTCGTTCAAAATAGATTTTGTTAAGCTCGCGCTTAAAGGAGTGCTTTGCACTCGCCTCGGCAGTAAGGGGCCTGTGATATACGATTTCGTCCCCTTATCGACCTGACGGCCACCACTTCCCAGGAGATATGGCTGTGCGCATTCCTTGGGTACAAGCCAGGCCGTGGGATGGTATGCGTGTTACTTGCTTACAGTTTGTCTTATTAGAAACTATGAATCTGTGACGTCATTCAAATGGGACTGAGCCTGCGATCAATTAAAAATCAATAACGTGTGAGCAGAGAACTTAAAAAAACACGTCACCTCAATGAGATGAGCCCGCGATACAGTCATGTTACAAGGGTCAGCGGATATCCCATAATGACAGCTGTCAGTTGACCATAACATGGTCAACATAGATTGTGTATGCATTGAACTCCAAGTGTGACATTTCACATCCGCTTACATGAACGGGAGCAAGTATGCACGGACGATTTTGTCAGAACCGAAATTTCTTTTGAAAATTTTCGAAATTTTATTGCCCATGGTGTTCTTGACAACATCTAGGTTACTATAACTCTTGTATTAATACAATTACAATTGTTGATACTATTAACTTTAAACTCGCTATGGTCATGTAAAAGAAACACTCCTATTCCACCCGAAGTTACCTAGCGCTCTATCTAACAAATTCCCCGGTAGTTCAAACGCTGGATAGTGCTATCCACCGCAGATTTAAAATCACTATCAAGCTGATAAGTATTAGCGAAACCAATTGTGCTACCTATTGGATAGAGATTTATCCAATAAGCTATAACGTACATAATAAAATCACTGGGCTTCGATATTTTCTTCCGACTGGTATGTTAAATACTAATAAATACATTTATAAAAATAACTTAAATTTGTTAGCTGTACACTAGGTATTTGTGAAAGGTTGTTTTTATGTTAGAGACGTTTAAGTCTAACGTCTAGTTTAAAAACGGCAAATAAGACAGAGGCATTTAACGTCTGACGACTTTACCGTCTTCTGTTAAGTTCGTCGTTCAGAACACGCCCAACTCGTCTGAAGACAACTGCGAAGAGTCAGTGTTTTGTCTTTTCGGTTTTTAGAAAACTCTGTTGTTTTTTTTTTCAATCATGTTGTCTACTTTTATGCTTCCCGTTTTTTCACCAGACGGATTCAACATCTAAAACGCTAAATGAGTCTAGATGACTTGAACGTCTTAGCATAAAAACGGCCAATCACGGCAAACTTACGTATACATAAATTTGAGAGACATCAAATTTAACCTGTAACAATGTACACAGTTAATTTTCTCTAAGAAGGTCACCATGGAAACCAACTCCAAGTATCCGTCCTAGATAGGATTCCGCCTTCGAGAGCCGACTGGGTGTCCTTTGATCGTCTTAGTTGCCGCGTATCTCTTTTTCTTCATTTCGTTTCTTTGTTATAATCTATGTGAATCTTCGAAACAACCCTTAATCTTTTATAGTTTATTGTAACCCCTTCGTTTTTTGTTGTATGCAACCAAACTAATATTTTGAAATTTTCTTCAATATTTAGATTATTGTATTCGCGGCAAAATATCAACTTAAATTTCGTGACAGGCCCCCCCTTAAAAATTCGAAATTCTCGTGGCATTTGAGTGGCTACGTTGAGACGTCCCTTTGGACATACATTGCTGAGATTGTCAAGTCACAGCTTTAAGCCTCGAACGGAACCGAGTCCCGTCCACACGAATACGAGTATTTTTGAAACCGCCTATTTTTTTATATACGAATCAACCTTCCGTCTCCACGAAACCAGTGAATCCGCTGACTGAAACTGCATCTTTCTGAGACCGCTTTCCAGAGTGGTTTAAAACCCTGTCTTACCAATCCAGGAGAAAAAATATGCGGCTCCACAAATGTACGGATTGGTGTGGACGCGGCCTTAAATTATTTGACAGTGATTTGGCAAAATATAAGCAACAAGCTTTAACTATTACACAGTGGAAAGAAGCTTCTTGTCATCATTCCCGGGTGTGGCAACTTGAGACGGGGGAGGGCTTTTGTCGCTAAATGTGATAAACGCATAAATCACACTTCCAACAACGCTGAAGAGAAAGACGTACAAGGCAGCGTTAAAAGTCTTTATCGACTAAATGTCCATGAGATTTATAAATCAAAAGGCGAAAAGCTTTTTGAAGAACTCTTGTGAGTTAGCGTCTCTTCTATTAGTGTACAATTCATTCGCATTTGTACGCAGTGTAACGAGGAGAAGAGAGAAAAGTTCGAAATCCAAAAACCCTTTTTAAGTCTTTTAGCACTCCAAACAGAGGTAGATCGCACAAATTATTTGTGATCGACCAATCGTGAGGTCAAATGGATGGACATTGGCCAAGTTCCTCTTTTGCCTTTTTATGAACCGAGGCGAAATCGAAGTTAACAGATAAAAACGCACAAAGAAAACAGGCCAGTATGAAGCAAACTTGACCGATCAAGCTTGGTCCATAAAGGATTTATTACATGGTCAAAACGAAAACCGTTTCTTATTGGACCATCGCGGCAAACCCCGAGCAGTGCAAGCAAGATGGGCAGCCAATCAGAACACAGGATTTGCTTCATCTTGCCCCCAAAAATTCAAATCCTGTTTTGCTCGCATGCGTTTTCCCGCGGTTAGCGCCACCCGCATAGATTCGCTTTGTGATTGGTTAATAAACCCGCGCCACTTTCTCAACCAATCAGAGGGAAACAGCAACGAATGGTGGCATACTTCCACGTGTTTTGCCGCGCTTGAGACCAGTTACTCGCAGTGTTTGTACATCTGTTAGGTTTTTTAGAAAACATTGTCTGTGCCTGATATGTGAGTATTAATTTCAATGCACTCCTCCCTTAGCCTTAATGGTACATGACCAGTGTTTCAGTCCCAAAAAAAGATAAAATCACAGTCATTCTCACCTTATATTGAGTCCAATAAAATTGGTGACAGTGAAAACGTAGTCTCCTCCAAGAAACATACCCAAGTAAGTAACAAGAATATTCTAAGGAAAGAAAAGTCATCTTTGAATACGGTCTCACCATCGAGACCTTTACCCAGTGAAGGTCTTAGAAAAGTGTCGGTTCTCCGTTTTATCGTGACCAGCAGAAAATTACTAAACGATAACGTCGACCTCGAGTCAATTTAATGAAAGTTTTACACGCGTAATTTACAGGAGTATCCATTGTTTTATAGTCTGAAAACAATAGCTACACTTGTAAATTACACTAGTAAATGTTTTATTAAGTTGACCCCAAAAATTGGTGTCCGTTGAGTTGAATTGACCTTTACGAAAGACAGTTGACCACACAGTTTTTGCAGCTTTTTCACTAATATCCCAAGACCACCTAAAATAGGTTTTGTTTCGCACAGGTTTTGATTGCTTAAACTATCGAAACAATATCACTTACTGAAGAGAATCACCAAACTGGCTGACTTTTAAGAGAAAATAGAGGTTTTGTGAACGGGCTACCCTTTCCCGGGCGAGATTGTTCGTTATGAGATTTTCAACTATAGTTTAGTTTACCTTTAAACATCCAACGATTGTCGTCGTGAGCGCAGAGTTTGCCTGAGTACACAGTACTATAGAGTACATTAAAATGAACCTACAAGCAAAAAGTGGAAATAACGCAATAACTGAAGATGCTTCATTAAAATGTCAAATCAGCTTAAACGCCCTTCCCCCAAGGAGTGGGATGAAAAGAACGGTTTTCCACTCTCTTGTAAACCTCGCGTTAATCTCGGCTTTCTGACGGACTGACAATTTGTCACGCTGTGAGAGCCATAGACAAAACTCCCGTAAGCGATTAAATAGATGCTAAGATCTTGTGGTCATTTCTGAGAATTGTCGCCTACGAGACTGATTCAAACTATAGTACCATGCTTTGACTGGTATAATTAACTAGAGCTGATAACTGAATGCAGTACAAGACAGGGGCATCCAACGAGAATATAGTTCAAAACCACTTAAACATTGCATTGTTAAACGTATTTTAGTATTTAAACTGTAGATATAGGCATATTTTTATCCCCTAAAAGTTTTCATCTGTTCGGATTTTCTAGCTGAAAGTCTAGTGATCCGAAAATTATAGGGATCAAAGCTTACCTTTTCGAAAATTTCAACCAGAAAAAAGGCTACCGAAAATTCTAGGTGACCTTTTTAGGGTAAAAATCCGTTAAAAATGAGCAATTATACCATTTTTTAGATGTTCGAAAATCCTAGGAGAGGCAGGAAGGCCAAGAAATTTTACAACAAATGTTCCGAAAATTCTAGATCTCAAATCGTCTTCCGAACAGATATTTTCCGAAAATTGACGTTGGGTGCCCCTGACAAGATTAGACAAGCAGTGACGCACAATAGGGGGATCACTTTCGAGAGCTGATCACACATGCTTTCACATGGCTGTGAAAAAGCCGCAAAAATTTCCTGTCTTGTGATTTGTTCACATTTAAAAAACAGTGCATTTACAGTAGTTGAAAAGGATACAAAGTCCTAAACTGAGTACATGAAAGGGGTACCATTTGTCAATGGAAGGTTTATGAAAGGGGTACCTTTTCGATCGAAAAAATGTTATATAAAAGGTAAGGGGTTGGACCTCGGGGCGGAGGCCCCCCCCCCCCGTATAAAACTTTGGTGCGTACCCCCCCTCCCACCTCGACCTTTAAATTGATAATGAAATATGAGACAAGGTCAATGGCTTAACGTCACCGTCCTATGACGCGATGATCTGAACTGAGACAAGATCTTATAACACAACCAGCATGATCTCACTAGTTTTTGTTTGTTGGTTAGTTGGTCCTACCGGGGAATTCCTTGAAAACCCTATCGTTAACAGTGCCACACACCTAACTAGCCCAGATATGGTGGCCCCACCCACTGCCGGGATACAAGGGCATTATGTTTGCTTACCCCATAACACAGGAGAGTAGAAAATACAAGAGAAAGAATGGTTCGCGCCACTGTGCGTACAAAACGGCCTGGAGAGGAAAAAGCATAAGATTACAATGAGGTACAGGTAATGATTACCGTATTTATTCGAATAAGCGCCAAACCTCGAATTAGCGCCCACCTCGAATAAGCGCCAATCTTAAAGGCAGAAAAAGTTAATAAGCGCCCACCCCCTCCTCTTCCCAATCAAAGTTAAATAAGCGCTCACCCCCACCCCACCTACTTGAGTGAATAAATTCTAATAAAAGACTTCCCCAAGGGCGGAGTTTTCTTCAGAGTATTTTACAGAAACCTTGCTTTGTCACTTCTTCTCGTTCTGTTATTAGTATTTATTGTTTTGTTGCAAAATAAACATACTTCACTTGCTGAAAATGGTGAAAATTTAATAAGCGCCAAGCCCCGAGTAAGCGCCCACCTCGAATAAGCGCCCACACTCAAGGTCCAAAAATTTAATAAGCGCCCAGGGCGGTTAATCGAATAAATACGGTAGTCACTTGTTTTACTCAAAGAAAGAGAACGAGATGAGTTGTGCGAGAGGAAAATACACTTGTTTGTTCAGAATTAAGGAGCTTTAGCAACGAAGGATGCGACGGACAAGAGCGTTGAAAAATGGCCGTTCTGATGCAGCGTTTTGAGTGGAGGGGCAAAGCAGAAGAGCGCGCGAAATGTCGTGGAAATAGGGAGCTTATGCAACCACGACTATGAGGGTAACGAAAGCGTTCAAAAAGTAACAGGTTTAATAAGCAAAACAACAATTATGCACGCGTATGTCACTAGTCTGTTTCATTGCTGTTGCAGCATGACTATAAAGACATGAAATGTTCTGACGCGACGTTTTAAGCAGCCTGAGAAAACAGTCGACATTTCGCGACGTCACCACTGGTTTCCCCGCGAAAATGACGTCTGAGCAACAAGCGTAGAAATTCCATTCTGATGACGCGTCACTACCCACACCTGGGCATTGCTTCTGATTGGTTGAAAAAACTTCTCTCGCAGCACGACCAATCAGAGGCGCTATGTCTACCCAAGCGAGTACGCGAAATATCGTCTCACCTTATCAAGTTCTCCAGTGGCATAAGCAATAATGACAGCAGGAACGAACATAAATATGGCATTATAAAACAACAAACCATATTTGCCCAGTTCCTAATAAAGAAAAAATATTTGTTAGGAGAGCTTTTAACCTCTTTACCTCATCGAAAGGAAATAACAATTAATTATCACAAAATGCAGACAAGCTCTCTTTCAAACTGTCTCTAACAACATAGATCTAGTATAGGATTACCCCCCTGGAATACGAGTAGTATCATCTGTTTTTTTTCTCAGAGATACTACAACGAATCTAATGACGAGACGCGAACGATCAACTCTCTCGAGTAGAGGAATGGATTATGGGTTTCACTCGCGAAACCACCTGTAGAAATAATTAAACAAGACTACTGTCTCACTTCAAAATTGCTGGGACACTTTACTATCCTTTCGCCCTTCTAATGCTGGTGTACAAGATTTGGTGAGTTAACTGCGATAAACAACATTGGGAGGGCGAGGAGATGAGCAAGAAGGAAGAATACAGCATTCAGTGAAAGTGTCCCCACTATTCTTGTCTCAGACTATAGTATTAATCAAGGCTACATTGGAACATCCTGTGCATGTATTTGTCATTCAAGACCGATGGACCAAAATGTTAACAATAATTTTATTTAAGTCGAATTTTATAACTCACCTTTGACTCTAACTTTTTCTTTACATAAACACCTAAACAAAAAGACCAGCATTAAAATAAAGATATAAAACCCCTTTAAAGGTGACATGGCTTGGTATACTAACACCACGGCAGGGCTGTTAACAAGGAATAGGGGGGAGGGGGGTTTCGTGTGAGATCATTACCCTCGAATACTTTCATACTAGAAAAAAGAGGAAAGTAAAACCAAAGGGACTTCCTAGCTGTTTAACCCTTTAAACCCTAAGATCAAAATCTGAATTCTCATTTGTTGCCCCTATTCATTTCCTACAGAAATAGTGGGGAGAAGTTGTTAAAATATCAAGCAAATTTGTCTTGTGTGATCATGTCCATAATTCTCATGACCACTCTGTTTAACAAAGTATTGATATTACAAAGAGAAATTTGATGCTGATCACTATAATCACTATAAAATAACATTAACCCGGTAACTGGAAATCTAGTGACAGCCCTTCTTATAACTAAAATAATAGGGCATGAAGTTTCAATAGTGCTTGACATAAATTGAATAAATCAACCACATTTCTTTATAAGAAATAAAAAAGGTGAATTAATGAAATACTTCCTACCATTTGCTGCTGTAAGGACATCGTTAATCAGAATGAATGTGTAACCTGTTGCATCAAATGCAAGGTCATCACTAAAACCACAAACAAAAAAGGTCAGAATTTGCCAAGGATCACAAGCAGTGATTGAACTCAGGGCCATCCAGGGGACAAAGGGTGATGACTGCAATAAATGGGATGACTATGATGACCGCAATGTCTAGGACAACTGGGATGACTGGGATTACTGGAATGACTAGGATAACTGGGATAGACTTGAATGGGTTGAATGGGATGACTAGGGTAACTGGGATGTCAAGGATGACTAGGGTGACCAGGATGACTGCAGGGATGACTAGGAAGACTGGAATGACAAGGATGACTGGGATGACTAGAATGACTGGGATAACTGTTATGTGATGACAAGAATGACTGGGATGACTAGGATGACTAGGATGACTGGGATGGCTAGCATTGACTGGGATGACTATGATGACTCCTGGATGCCTAGAATGACTACGATTACTGGGATGTGTAGAATGAGCACAATGACAGGGATGACTGAGGTGACTAGAATGACTGGAATGACTGAATGATCAGGATAACATAGGATGATTGGGATGACTAAGATGGCTAGGATGACTGGGATGAATAGATGACTGGGATAAGTATAATCCTTTCTTTCCCTCCTAAAATAATTGTTAGGTTTGTTTCCCAAAACAAAAGAAAATTTAATTCTTAGAAAAGTGGGGATGCTATAGTCCCTAAAGCCCTCTGAATCTGTCTTTCAGGCTGTGTTATTTACCTTGCTGCCACAAGAGCACCCAGTATCATAAGAAACACTGTCGCCTGCACCCGTGGTTCAGCCTTTGATCTAAAAACAAAGGGAGACAAAATGTCAGGCTGCATTTCAATGCAAATTACACTGAATACATAAAATAAAGATACTTTTCAATTGATGAGCCACAAAATACTTAAGTTTGAGAAACATTTAACTACTAACTTACCCTAAAATAAATGTCTCTCCTAACATCGTGAAAAGAATTGAAAAACGCCGAAGAACAGTGAACATTGGAAGGCTGAAGTGAAGAAAGTTTGAGTAACAAGCTATTTATCTCAACAATATTAAAAACAGCAGCTACAGCAGAACCAGCAGTAGCTGTGAGCTAGGGCCCAAAGAAAAATGTGCCCCGTTGTCTGGCTCAAGTAGATTTTCTTGTTGGGCAGCCAACCTTTGAGATGGAATCCGTAAGGAAATTGAGTAATTTTAATTTTCAGTGGACAAAAACCTTGTACCAGAATAATCTAAACAATATCACATTCTTTTTTTACATTTTTCGAGGGCTATAGATATAATAATCTGTAATAACACCAAAGACTATTTCTTATGGGGGCCTGAGAAAATAAATGTCAATTTTCACAAGAATTGTGAAAACACAGAGAAAATTCTAAAAATTTCATGTGTAAGATGTCACTCTGTTATTACTGCTATTGTGCCCAATAGGATTTACCTCTTGTGTATCTATGGTGGCCAATGACTACTTAATCTCATGGGAACTCAAAAGTTGTCATAAAATACAAAATTCAGCACACACCACTGTCTGTATTAAAGGATCATCTTTGATTTTATTTTTTTGAAGTTCACACAATAATAATTGCTAACTTGTTAGTTTATTATTACCTCAAATTTTCACTAAAAACTTACTTAAGCCTTTTTGTGCTTCCTAATCCAAATACAAGATTTCCAACATACAACAATGGAAGGGGCCACACCTGAAATAATATTTGCACATGTAAAAAATACCTGAATGTAATTATTCTTCTTCAGTACTAGCTATCTTTGGAACAAAGTAATATCAAGTTCAAACAGGCTAAAGATAGAATGCATTTCCAGTTAATATTTTTTCTTATCAGTAATATTGCAATAATACAATCTACAGTCAAAATTAGCCCAAATGTCAGGGTATATTAGTTTAGTAAAGACCTCAAACTGCTGGTTATAGTCACCCCCTAGGGTGACTAATTCACAAGAGGTCAACCTGCCCCACATGAAGGATTTTTTAATCTAATTTCCCACCAAAATCAAAGTCAGAGGGCAATGCTTTGTTGATTGCTTGACTGATCAAAAGTTGGGTGAAATTTTTTTTTGACAATGTATTTGCAATGTTGATGGCATTTGGCTGTAGAGAGAATTTATTTCATGAACCCTTTTTGGGTTCTCAAAATTGGTACACCGCAAGTGAGAAAAATCTTCTGGAGGTGACAAAACAACCTCATGCGGCTACAAGAGACCTTCAGAGAGTGCAATATTATTATAAGTCTTCAAAGATTGCTACCTATATGGGTCTCCAGGATACAGGTTGAGAAACAATCACAGTTCTATACTCTAGCCTGGGGTGAGTTGTTCAAAAGACAGTGCAAATCAAGGTTTGGTTACCATAAAAAACTAATACACTCTGCTTGCAGTTAACCCAAGATTATTGGTAACTGGGTGTTGAACAACTCCACCCACGGTGTTATGGAACCTCACCTCTCATGTGCCGCGCTGCACAGTTTGTACACTTCTTCCATATAAAATAAAAAGACATTTCAAGGACTTACAAGGACCACAGTTTTAAACTGATTTCAATATAACCTAATTTGTTACTTTTAACACATACTCCAAATTTTTTGTTTTTATTATTATCATTATTCTGTTGGCTTCAAGCTGGCATTTGCTAAAGTTTTTTGGAGGTTTGAAAATGTTCCTCAATTAAAATTCAAGGACTTTCAAGGACCAAAATGAATACAGGAGAATTTCAAGGACTCTAAAATTCAAGGGTTTTCAAGATGCGTACAAACCCTGCTGCTACCACAAGGAGAAGTTAGATGTTGGTCACTCTTACAGGTCAAAGGGTTAACCCTTTAAGCCCCAATATCCACAAGCAAATTTTCCAAACTGATCTCTATACATTTCTTTAAAAAATATGTTGAGAGAGTTTGATAAAAGATCAAAGTATTTTCTCTTTGGTGATCATTTTATTAACTCTCATAACCTAATCTCTTGACATTGTATGGATATCGTTGGGAGAAAATTGATGTTGGTCACTATTGGGACTTACAGGGTTAACCACAAGGACTGATTTAGGGTGTGTTTCTTTATGATCATCCGCACCAGGATCAGTGATCCAAGATCACTTGGACGAGGGTGGTACATCAAAATTAATGAACCAACGAGTTCACCCTTTCCCAGCGTGGATTCGTCATTTCCATTGATGTGCTATGATATGAGTGATATTGAATCACTGATCCTGATCCAGGCCATCCTAATGGAATGCGCCGTTATAAATAGCATTATCAGTGAGTTTATGCAACAGGATGGCAGGAAGAAAAGGACGGCAAATTGCTAGTGCGTGACGAACATGACAAAGTTATTACTTACGTGTCTTATCGTGATCTTCACTAACATGAATGTTTTCTGGTCTTTTACAAAAAGATCCGTTTAAAGGAAAGTGAAGTTTGGCAGAAGGTTTTCTCAAACAAACTTATTCTAATGTCACGCTTGTCACACAAGGTTTTCTGTCGTCTTTCCTCTCCCGTCCTGTTGAGTAAGTTCAGAATTGACACGTACCTTGTACAAAATTGACAGTGAATAACCTGGAAAATTGACAACGCCACCTAGCCTCAGGATGTAGAGGACAATGACTGTGGCAAGCATCTGAAGAAAAGAGATAAATGCACTGAACTTGACAGTGAGCATCACTGAGAATTTTTTATTCGGATTCAAATTTTGATGATTTGATCAGCTTTAAAAAATGGTGGCAAGATCTATACTTATCAGAAGAAAATGTTCATCAGACCTCACTTCACATTACAATAGCTGACCTTTTCATGGTTTTTCAAATTTTGATGGTGATCGTTAGCCGAAATTGAATCGACAACACTGAAAAGACTGCCTAGACGTTAACAAACAAGTTTGCCAAGTTTGAAAGTGATACGTCTAAAGGGAGCCAAGTGACTGTTCCGCAAAGCTACAAATTTGTATGCTGGAGGGCAAGTTGGCTTCCCCCACCTTACAAACCTCTATAAGATTTTACAACTTTGCATAGCTGTATCTTAATTCTTACTCGCCAAATCACTATCAAACTTGTTAATTTTACCATTTTAAGGCTCTCTTTTACGCAGTGTTTACAGATTTTTACTACCTGGGTCACGTCAAAAGTTGAAAAAACTGTAAAGAAGGCGTCTATTTCGGACAACATCCTCCCAGGTAAAAAAGCTGAAAATCACCAGATGCAGAGCTACCAGATATAGATCCATGAAGGGCTTTGGAGAAAACTAAAATTGCCTTGTTTGGAGGAGTTGCAGTCGAGAACTTCTCTGTCTACATGGTAAAACAAGGTTGCCCCCAACATTTGCCCATGCTTGTATCTAATTTTCAGTATTCTGACCAGATTTTCACAAACACCACTGTGGTTAAATGTTATTACCTAAACTATGTTAAATGCAAAAACAAAGCTGGTCAGCCACTCCCCCCCCCCCCCTAATGGGGGCTGGCAATATGGCTAATGTTCTGGCCGGGGGGGGGGGGGGTTTTTGTTTTTGTGTTGTATGGGGTGCTCAGTTTTGCGGGTGTGGTTTTCACTTTTTCTTTGGCTTTTGTTAACCACCTCCCCCCCCTCTCCTCTCCTCTTTTTTTTGTTTCGTGTAATTAGATCTCCTTTTCTGTTTAAATTCGCTGTTTTGGAGGGGTTGCACTCGAAACTTTCCTGTTTTAAATGGAAAAACAAGTTTCCCCCCACAATTTCCCCAGGCTTTTATTTAATTTTCATTATTCTGCCCAATTTTTCACAAACACCCCTGTGGTTAAAGTTTATTCCCTAAACTTTTTTAAATGCAAAAAAAAAGCTGGTCAGCCCCCCCCCCCCCCCCCGATAGCGGGCATGCAGATAGGTCAAGTTGTGTGCAGGGGGGGGGGGGGGGTGTTCTTATAGCTCGGTTGTAGAGGTCAACTCATTCTCTCGTGCTCTTTACCCCTTTTGATTGTGCTCTGTAACCTCACTGCCCGCCCTCTCTCCCTCTCTTTGGTAAGTACGAGGTAAGTAACATTGCTTCACTGTTTTTTCAACATGATGGTGCCTGGTGGTTGCCGCCCACAGGGTTGTCACGGTTACGCTACGTGCTCGGCTCTTGTGCTTGTGGCCCCACCATCTTTCCAGGGATCTTACCAACACTAATGTATTGTTGAAGAGTTTTATGATTTATGCAGCAATCTCACACAATTTCACACAAATGATAGCATGACTTCATTTTAGTAACTGCATACCAAAAGGTAAATGTTTCTCCTAGAAGTCAATTAATCACTCTAAATTTTGCTCCGAATCTCTCGATTTAAGAAAAAGTTTTCTTATTTTACGGGAAAAATTTACAACAAATTATAGGATAAGATCTCTTTTTTCTGTAACTTAAACAGGCTGTTTGAATTTACGAGAACAAAATCTTATTCTTAATGATTTGTTTAAAATTTTTTTCTTTAAATGAGAAATTTCGAATTTAGAGTGAATGTCGGTTTATTTAATTTTCAGGACCCGGAAGGAATGAGAGGTAATTTAGGTAAACGTATAACCGGCGCAAACACAACTTGCGACATCTTTACTTACCTGACCGAGTCCCAAACATTGAAAAGAAGGAAATCTATAGAAAAAAAAGATATCAACACAGTTTATTAGTTTGGGCGTCAAGGGGTCACATTAAGCTACAACTGAACCGTTGTAATCTGAGTTTACTTACTTGTACGTTGTCAAAACAGTCTTGTTGATAACCACAATAAAAAATGAACAAATGCCATACAAACACGCCGTTATTAATCTATAAAACAGACCAGGAGCCCGCTTTCCTTCCGACATAATAACAAGCTATTTAAAAGAAAATTAAATGGGCGATATATTAATCAAGTTGCGGATGGGCACTTTTAATCATATCCGCGACTGCGATGAATATTGATAAGCTTTTCCAAGATCCGCCATTTTTTTTAGCGAGAATCCGCTGACTGTAAACCTGTTCTCCTCGCAAAGTCACGTGACTATTATATATTGAGGATAGGAAGAAACGGAAGCATTGCGAACAAAATGGCGAGAAGTTTGTGTCTTTTATCCGCGTTAGTTTCGCTTCTGATCTCGGGGCAAATTTTCGCCGATGAGGGTTTAGGTATCTTAGATAAGTGTAAGAAGAGTTGTGAGCGAAGCTACCCGTTGCACACTTATCCAAAGGTGAGTTTGAAGAATCATTCCCAAGTTGTTTTGTTGTGCAATTTTTTTGTCTTGTAAATATCGAACCATGCAGTATACACATGGAATTCAACGAACATCCCCAACTTCATGCGTTTGTTCTTGCTTGTTCTGTCCGAAATTGGAGTGATTTCTATCGTATTGATGCTTATATTTCATAGGAGGAACCTTTGCTTGCTTGTAAACAAGGGTGTAGACTATCTGTGATCGAACAGCTGAACGGAGGCCCCACAAAGAATTATACTCAAGCGTGTAAAGCAGGTATAAAATACGTTCTTTTTACCGATTAAACGTACTTTTCTTGGTTTTCCTGAGTAGTTCTTTTACCTCCCCTGAAACCGAAGTTTACTGAAAACATCTTTTAATATCTAAACTTGTGCAACTTGCGAGAAATATTTGATAATTACATGTATAAAGCTTATAAGTAGAATTTTACATTCGCCCTTTGTGAAGAAGTGTGTTGTAATAATTCAACGTCTAACCAGACCCGATCAAGCTAAGATTACTGGAAGGTGCGTTCTGGAGAGAGACGATCTCGCCTCAAAGCATAGGCAATAGTATAGATTAGATCCCAAATTCATCAGTGTCCGTCTTAGAAATATTCTTTGATAATTTTCGTTGCTTGGAAATATGATATTCCCTCAATGGCATTCATTCCCTTTTCCTCTTCAAAATGTAACCCCCCCCCCCCCCCCCCCCCACCCTAAAGGGTTGGTTGTTTTTTTACCACAACCACCCTTCTTTACTATCCCTAACATCAACTCTTGCGCCCCAGCCACGTTATTTTTTTTCTTTTGTATAAATCTACATTTTTTAACATTATCGCTCTTATTTAGCATCTTTTCTCCATTATAATCTTCGAGAACACGATTCAATATTCTTATAAAACGCCCACATTTTCGATAGTCATTTGCAAAGATTGTGTTTTTCATCTGTGTGTTTTCTGCAAACTAATTTCTCCCCCACGCGACTCCTTCCCCTTTCCCCCATGAAAAATTCCCCCCCCCCCCCCCCCTCACTATGCAAGACAAGGTGTTCATTAGGCATCGGAGATCAGAGAATTATCCATTTACTGTGCATAATTCTCCGACTGTAGCTTATGATTTTTTTTATTCAGACATGAAGCCTCTTTCAAAATATTCTCCTGTAACGTTACAACTTTCTCCTACTAGTAGAATTCTCAATGAAAACCCTGCAAAGTGGGGCAGGGAACTGGAAGGTTTGCAACTTTCTCCTTCTTTTAAAGCTTAATGTCCTTACTTCTCATAAAACTGTTTTCACGTAAGAATACCCCTCTTTTGGTGAATGAATACATTCTAGAGGCTCAGGATTAATTCCGACAAGCAACATGGCCTTGAAACAGTAACTAAAGACAGCTGAAGTGGTGAAAAATGGTGCAAAAACAGGACTGAAGCTGCATGCAACAAATACCATCACATGCAAATACAGAGGCAGAATAGTCGCTGACATGAGAGAGACATGGCTTTTACATCAATACGGTGTATGTGAAACACAGGGTAATGAAATTCAGACCAGGGATATGTAACTCTCCCCTCCCCCACCCTATACTAAAAGGACTTCACTATTCCTTACCTCATTTTTTTTGGACAAAATTGGCATTTATATATTCGTTTTTCTTCAGGCTGTGAAGAAAGTTATAAGGACAAAGAAAACAGCTATGCTTGTGTTGTTGGCTGCAACTCACAAGATGCTATTCCATCACCAGACTCATACTCAGAGGTATTACATAAGACATCAATTTCAAAAGTAATTAAGTAATAATATCATTAGAAATTGCGTAGTACAGAGGAAGCCAGCCTTACGACCACCTCATTATAGCCTTAAAATCATTCTGTCATCAGTAAACTTAGGCAACAGGATGGGAGAGGAAGATGACAGTCAACCTTATGTGACAAGTGTGACAATTAGTTTGTTTGAAAAAACCTTCCACCAAACTTTACATTCCTTTAAACAGATCTTTTTGTAGAAGAGCAAAAGACATCAGTGTTAAATGAATTCCGACAAAACATGCAAGTAATAGCCCGGTCGCGTTTGTCACACTCAAGCGTTTTGCCATCCTCTTTTTTCTGCTGTCCTGTTGTGTTAACCCACTATTTTCTTTTCCGAAAACCTTGTTCAATTCAACACCACTTTGAGCCCATCTTTTTTCCAACCTGGCTTTCAACCAAAAATTATATTATCATAAAGTGGGTTGAGTAAGCTCTTGCTGTGACAGCTTTTTCTCTAAACACTATGATTTTCCCCTCTCTTCAAAACCAACACTTCCAAGTTCCAATTCAATCTGGAATGGACAGACATGTTTAAACTACTTTTTTAAGAACTCTTAATTGCTGCATGGGTAAACAAGTTACATTAATAATAATTTATTATTATTTACAGTACTTTTTTTATTTCCTTGGTATTTCTTGAAACCTCTAGGAATATTTTCCTGATCAGTGGAGTTTCCGTACATACATGGTGTATGTCTACCCTGTTCTCGACTTTAGCAAGTACTGTCATGGCTTCGTGAACAGAGTAGGGTACTACTACAGGATGTCAGCCTCATACTATTATAACTACGGTGACAGCAATAGCCTTATAGTTGAAATTAATGAGCAGCCTCGTGAGTTCATCAGTGTTCCTAAATTTGATGAGGTGGACTTTGTTGAGAATGATGATGCTCAGGATAGCAGCTATAGCGGTTAGTAACCAGTATTCAAGTTACAGTTAGCAATCGTAATTTGCTGTAATGTAATTTTTGAACCTGAACAATATAAATGATAATGGCAATAGGACTGAGTGTAGTCCAATTCGGTCTTTAATAATGGAGACCTTTAGATTCTAAGACGAGTACGACTATGAGTACAAGAAATTAGATTTTCTCAGTACTAAGTAGTGCAAGCGTGTGAATCAGCGTCATTTTGGTGGGAAAACTTGGTAGCTGTCGTCACTCTACTACGAGTTTTAGCGAGAATGTCGAAGTAGCTGAAACAAGTTATCAAATGTTAGAAGTTTTATCATTTTGCGATCGGTAGAGGGTGCAACCTCCTTCACGAAAGGTAACAGCACTAACTTTTCTAGTGAAAAATGGTAAAATGAAGCTTTTTGAGCAGTGTATATTTTGAGAATACGCGAAAAACTTGAAGTCAAATCTCGTACACGCAGTCGTTCTTGTCCTTGAATCCAAAGGTCTCTAATATGAGTAATCAACAAAATCAGACAACCGTGTGGCAGAAGTCGGAAGATGGATTGAAACACACCAATGGCAGTCTTCACAGCCAACAACAGTCATCATGTCTTAATAACTGAGAGATGACCAATAGCATTGTGACTTAACTGACCAATCAGGTCAATAACCATCAACTGATGAGATACAACTCACTTTGACTCTGAAAAAGACTGCTGCACAAGTTGTCAAAATGTCAGTCACTGTCAGCAACAATCCTGTTTGGGACTGCAATCACTCATACGATCATGCTTCTCTTACTTATAAGGTCACTACTATTGCAATGCAGAGCAATAATTGGTTTTATTATATAAACACCAATGAAATACCAGGTGAGCTTTTGCTCGAAAACTTGATATCTTCACACGTGAAAATAACATGTTATCTTTGCGTGTGAAAATATCACCGTTGCTATGGCTACATAATAAATCGCGCCTTTCACACCAAAAAACTATTAAAGTGAAATGGTTTGGTATTTCATTGGTGTTTATATAATATGTTTATATAATAAATAGAACATTACATAGCCGCTTGGAGATACGAAATTTCTCTTCGAGTGTTGAAAAAATATTTCACTCGTTCGCTGCCCTCACTCATGAAATATTTTTCAACATTCGAAGAGAAATTTCGTATTTCCGCGTGACCATGTAATATCCTCTATATATTGAACTTATCAACAGTATTTTAACTATTGCAATAATAGATAAAAACATTGATATTCAATTTTAATTTAATTTGACCTGCTCTGTAGATGGCGATGATTCCTATTCAAGTGATGTTGTGCACAAAGGTCACCAGTGGTTAAGATGTGTGTCTCAGCGGTCTGGACTTCCTTTCTGGTTGTTAACCTCAACGCTTTTCCTGTCCATATTTTTCCTGATATGGCTCTGTTGTGCCACTGCTACCACAGCCCCAAAAGAAGTTGGCAAGGTATATTCTTGTGGGGCAGTTTGTCTTTATTCCTAGGTTTTTATTTTTTAGAGGTTAAAATTGTGGTTAATGAAAGAAGACCGAAAAAATCTCTGCATTGTTGTTTGCTTCAAATTTAATATAACAGATATTGCAAGTATCTTCAAATTTGACTGCGATGGTTGAGAAAATAATTTTGATTTTCTTAAACCTATTATACCATATAGCATTAAGTGTCCCTCTTTTGTAGCGAGAGAGTTGGAATAAAGTCAGCTTGTCTTCCGCTTCACCGGCATTAGTGTTGTCAGATAATAAGGGCCCTATTCTCACTGACAGTGGAACCTCAATGTAATAAACCTCTATGATATAACTAAGTCTTCCGTATGACAAACAATATTCTTCACCCAAGAAATACAGGGCTGCCACAGTCAGGGAAAAGTCGGGGAAAAACGAAAATTTTTCAAGGTCAGGAAAAAGTCGGGGAAAATCTTTAGTATTGTCAAAGTCAGTGAAAAGTCAGGGAATTCTGTTTTCTGGTTTATAGTTCATAAGTTTTCCTCAAGATTTTGAAATGAATTTTGTTTCGGAGAAGATGAAAACTGTGCTGCAAAGCAAACAAAGTGATCAATTTGACACTCTGTGCCTGATAGATGTAATAGTTGAGGTCAGTGGTTTTCCTTTTGACTGCTTTCTTCCAAATTCCTTCTTTCTCTTTCTGCATATATAGCGGAAAGAGATTGAAAATGAAGAGAAAAGTGTTGATGGCCTGCAAAAAAAGCTAAAGTGAATGTAAACATGGATTGTTTCTCATTAATGAAAGGTCAGTGAAAACTGTTCAAAGGTCAGTGAAAAGTCAGGGAATTTTTAACTTTCTGATGAGTGGCAACCCTGAAATAGTAAAATACAAAAGAACCTCGTTATGACAAAACCTCTTTATGACAAGCAAATTTTGCCTGTCCCTTGGGCCTTTGTTATAAAATATTATCAAGCTTCCACCATACTCAGTTGGAGTGGCACACTAACTCTGTCTTTTCTGCATTTCTTTTAAAGCCTTCCATTGTTCGTGAACTCATGTTACTGGATGATGACAGTTTACTGGAGAAGTTGCCTCTGGTCAAGGCCGATGAGAACGAAGAAGCAGCCCCTCTGCCTGTTAAAGTGCACATCGATGCAACTACTCTGTGATGAGAGAAACTAACAGTTTTCTTTATCAAACTTAACTTAAAGGGACAAGAATTCTTAACTTGTTTAACTTTTCAATTTAAATGTGGGAGTTTCTGCATACGTGTTTTTCTTTTATCAGTCTGTATCTAATGTGTTTTGCTAATTGCAGGATTGTCACTAAGATTTCAAGTTGCCGGGTAAATACAACAAGTAGGCGGGGAATCAAACAGCTAGGGGTTTCTGTTGGGTCTATTTTTCTTTTATTTTCCTTTGAAAGTAGCCAGGGGCCATGTTCATAGTAGCTGGGGGAAATCCCCGGCCCCCACCTCTTAATGACACCCCTGTTATTGGGTATTAAATTCCTTAATAGTGACTTTAGTTTGAATGTATTCCGGGTTTCAGTTGCCATTCATTTGTTTATGAACAAGAGAAATGACAGTGTTTTACCAAATCCGTATTCAGTAATTGAAATTGAATTCTGAATTTCTAAATTTAAAAATCTAGTCTTTTGTTGACACAGTAATATGCATGTAGGCTTGACTATGGTCGACAAACAGACCTCAGCAAAGATGGTTGTAACTTGTGAGTTTGCGGTTGAAACCTTTTTTCCTTGCCAGCAGCAGTCACTCATGGCAAATGGTTAGAAGGAGAGGAAAGAGAGAGACCTCTTCCAGCCTCTGACGCATTCTTTCATGTACACGAGACGAGACATTGTGAAAGTAATATGTTAAAATAATGGTACACTTTTACTACTTTAAGACTAAATTTAGACATTGAAACTGATAGCAAGGTTGTACATGGATTGAAACTTGAAAATGTTGGGCCAACTGTTTCAGGTTCAAATGTCATACCTGTAAAATTCGCCAAAACAATTAGTATGGTTTATAGTTCTTCTTGGTTAATTTTTTTTGGACATCTTCTTCGTAACTCTAAAGTGAGTATTTTATGTTTGTTTAAAGGCACTAAGCAATGACTTCAGCTCTGAATTGATGTAAAACAGCAATATCCTTGTGACTTAGCTTCTTCAACCAAAGTGCATGGCAAGTTTTAGCCTCCAAGCAAGCTCTCCATTTGGGGGGAGTCACGAGAAGACAGGCGGGAGCCGCGCGCGAAAGGAGACGCGAGTGCGAGACGCGTTATCTCGCGTTCTCTCGCGGCCGGCTTCGCTCGCGATAATTGAAGAGCTTGCTCGCAGGCTAGGTATTATTGGGGTTAGGGGTGAGCTTGTAAATAGGAAGCATTGCTTGCTTTTGAATTGGCTTTATAATCTAGGACGGTAACACTTCGCTAAACTGAATGAAAATAACTCAGGCCATTAACGTGTATTTAGATGTCTAATGTTGCTGTTGTAATTAGCAGTGGTGGTTTTGTATTTATGAATTCTTCAATAAACTCTTATTAAAAGGACAAGTGGCAGTTGTCTTTATGTCAGCTTTGGAAGCGAGAGAAAACATTACGTCACGTTACCATGGTAATCCAGAAATTTTGCTGCCATGGTAACATGACGTCACACTTTTCTCTGTTAGATTAAAGCCAGGTAGACTTGAGTAGTCTCAAGTGAAAAGCGTTGATTGCCTCTCAACGATGATGGAGAGTAGCCTGAGAAAAGAGCCGACACTTCGCGACGCCATCCTGGTTGTCCAAGCGAAATGATGTCTGAGGAAAAGCGCAGAAATTCCAAACCAATGCCGTGTTACTACCCAGATCTGGAAAGTGCCTCTGATTGGTCATGTTGCGTGGAAAATTTGCCTCAACCAATCAGAAGCACTACCAGTCTGAGTAGTGAACGTCATCAGTATGAAATTTCTGCGCTCGTTTCAGTCAGACGTCATTTCACGGGGAAACCAGTAGTGGCGTCCCGCAATGTAGGCTGTTTTCTTATGCTAGGATGGCGGGGAGCCGATTTCTTATGTCTCCTGTGTTTCGCTTGCTCTACTGTATAAGAAATAGAGTAGAAACTTGGCAACGTCATTCCAACGCGGAATTCTTTGTCCTTTTTTCCCCCAATGCGGAGCCTGGTGCCAGGCTAATCATGTACTTGAAATTTCCATGGTTAGCCTAGGAGAGTGCGCTTTTCTAGTGTCTCCAGTAGTGAAAAATGGCATACATTTTCTTATTACCTTGACTGTTCGTAGGCAAACTTTATACTAACCGAGTTTCTGTTGAAAAAGTGAATTTAGTACGTGAAATATCCGTCATATATATTAATAAAAAGTATGGATAAAACCTGATTCTAAAACTTTGTTGCGCGCGCTAGATTCAGATTAGAATTCCAGAGCGCGATCACCAGTTCGAAAAATGACGTTTTTTTCTTTTTCCTTTATGACATAACTCCGTGTCCACAGCAACAGCAAAGAAAACGTCTTCAGTCGAGTAGTACGCATTTTATAGACGCGGTTACGGACTTAATTTTGATCGAGATATTTTTCACTGCTGGTTAAATCTAAGTAAAATGGCAAGAGTTAGACAGATTCCCCGACGAATTCGCCAGAGAATAGCTGAAAGGTAAGTCAGAGTATTGTGAAGCTGTTCTGTATTTGGCGGCCTTTGGCCGCCTACGCGGTTTTTGCGTTACCGAGTCTCGCTAATCCAAACTATAGCATCATAGTACTGTATACAATCTGGCTGATCAGGATCATACTATGAGGTACAGAATTCACACATTTCATTCATTGAGCCAATCAGATCCGTGCAAGCTAATTTTTGTCAGGCTAGCGTAAAGCCGGAAAACAATCGTTTTACGCGCGATTTTTGGCGAGAGATCGTTGAGCAATGATTACAGTAAGAAGGCCAACTTCAAAATTATTTAGAAAAAATTCAAACAAAAACAGAGCACTTACACGTTTGTCTTACCTCTCTAGTTAGATATTTCGCCTAGGATAGGAACAAATGGGAATATTTTTTGTAAACTATTTCAGCCGTCAAGCTATCCAACTTTATAGGCATAGTTTAAGTGAACAGGATGAACAGAAATAGTATCAAGTGTTCACACTTTCTGTTTCTAGTCAAGAAGAATTCTTTAATTTCCCAAAATTTTAAATTTTTGAAAAATATCATTGCCCAGGGGTAATAGATATTATGCTTCAGATCTCAATGCACACGGGCGCTAACTGTTCTGTATCGGATCTGACAAAAATCGAAGAGCTTAAGTGCCAACCTATGCGTCCGTCAGCTTCCCAGCATCCAGCAAAAGCCCCGTTATTTTCGCCAGGGCTAGACTTTTATGGTTTTGAATGACTAATGAGCAGGAACCAGCTGGAAAGAGTCTGAAGCTGTTCAGTCACAATCCAACCCGTACTAATTACTGACACATTTTGATTTTTTCGTAATTAAGGAAAAATCGCATTGATTTGAATGCGTTGGATGACATGCTTCTACCCTTACCACCTGAAGAAGAAGGTGAAGGAATCTGGAGATTACAAAGAAAGTTCAAAAAAGATAACTACACCAATGCAATCATACCTTACATGACTTGGCAGGTATGAAAACTTCTTCCTTCAATTTTTGTCTCAACTTAAGTTAGCAGGCAAGCTGGCCCGGGGCATTATACGGCAATGATAAGGAAGGAGCCAGCCACAACTAGTAGAAAAACAAGTGCAGTACATGTTACGCTGCCTTATCAGAGGTTTTCTTAACCAGGATACAGATTTGTTCCCAGTTGCTTGGTTAATTAAGCATGTTTTAATAAAATGAGGATGGCGCGACGGGTGGACGCATAGGTGGATTTAGGGGTGGGTCCGAGGGGGGCGCGTCCCCCATTTTCTGTGAAATTTTGTTTTGTTTTTAAGAATTCTCAGTAAAGTAAATCGTTACTATACAGCTGGCAAATATTCCCCCTTTGTGCATCATGTGCTGTAGTCTTCTTATGGCAGCTTGCATATTCTTTCTTTCTCGCGTCAAATTAACCGCTGAGTGATCTGTCGCATTATCCAATAGAATGTTCAAGAAAACCAGGCGACTATCCCAGAATACTACGCAGACCCTGTACTGCGGGAGAAAATGAGGGCCAAGGAGAAATTAAGGGAAGGTACGTTGTCTCTATAACAACTTAGGAGAGTGATTTGCAACAGTGTGGTAATGAATATGTTTTCACAATAAAAGAAGAGGCAGATTGTGAATTTGTGTCCCCAAGGAGGGGTGGGTTGTTTTTTGTTCTGGGTTGATATTGGATTAAAAGAGTATGAAGGGATAGAGCGGGAAACTTAGAGACTCTCCTTTGGGATATGTGAATTTTACCAAAGTTATTTTTTAGACCGATTAAACGCTTGAAATTGATGGGAAGTTTGTTTCCGGGAAGGTCCGCAAACTTTTATTGTTTGCTTGCCAAAAATGGTGTGCTCGTTGTTAAGAAAATATCCCATGGTAAGTAAAATGTTCCTTATATCCCCCTTCAGAACTTATCGAGGACCCAATGGCGGAGGAAAGAGCTCGACGAGAAAGGGAGCGGGGGATGTGGAATGCCGAAGAGGAAAAAAAGCTTTGTACTGCGTAAGTAATGGAAATTCTTACCTGAACCAAAGTCCATCCATTTCTCTGTTTATAAAAACCAAACCCTGCTCTTAGAGATCATTAGTAAAGCCAGCAGCGTTTTTTCCCCGCCCATTCTTAAAAATCCACGGCCTCTAATAAAATAAGCATGGAAGAGGGTTGTGGAAGGGTGTGCTGTGAAGCATTTAGAAATTAAAAGGTAGGATCTGCTTTCTAATTTGACAGGTTGGCACAGAAGAGGCACAATTTTGGTAAAGCAGCTAAGAAGATGCCAGGAAAGGTATGTCAAATCTTTTTTGGCAACTATACTAGTACTACTACCATCTTGGACAAAAAGAAAACTTTGAAATAGTGAAATAGGGAAAATTGTATAAACTTATATATTAGTGCTGTCGTTGTTTTAGACTCGCGAAGACTGTGTGGAGCACTGGTATTCATACAAAAAAGACAAAGAGCACATTGCGGTAAGAAAATTTATATTTTTCTAAACGTTTGCGGGATTTAAAACGCGCGACGATAAGAATGGGGACGAATCAAATCTCTTCGCGGCTACATTCGGTGGTTCAAAATAAACCTTCTACTGCCAGGACGTCGTCTCGCCACGAAAGAAAACTGAGCCGAGTTAATTTTCGCAAAGACTTCTGGGGCTTTTGGTGAGGACAGGGAAAAAAAATTGGCCAATAGCTGACTGATGTGTCTCGAGTAACCATCCCAGAAACCATTGCGGGACGCATTTCGGCTCCAGTTCCCTCCACCTGTGGCCGACCTCGCTTGGAGCCTTGAACAGGCTTGAACCACGGCACTGGACAACCAACGTACAAAACGCTGCAGGTTCAATATAATATCTATGAAATATGAGAGCATTAAAACTGAACAATATCTTATAATTATTCCATTGACAGAGTTGTGATCCCTGCATTCAGAGGCAAACTGACAAGCGAAAGCGAAAGAGAGCAGCAACTAGTTCTCTGACATCAGCAGCTCATGCTCAGCAAAAGGAACTAGATATTGAAGATGGCGCCTCACCGCGAAAAAGATCCAGAGTTGGAAGGGCCATCTTGGTTCCCCGACGGTTCAGAGATGAACCTAAGGGACGTCAACACTAAGGGCCCGTCGAGAGGCTCATTTTAGGGGAGGGGAGGGATAAATGACAGAAAAATGGACAGAGCCAATATCTTAAGGTGAGTGGGGTGAGATGAAGTGTTGACTTTCTAACTATTTTGTATGTTTACAATGATTTTTCCCAAGAGGCTCTTCCAAAAAAAACAGAAATGATTCAAAATCAGACTTTGGGAAACAACCCCTTGTACGTAACGATAGTCTGTTCACAGACCCTCTATTTTCTCTTCAAAGTCCGTCGAGCGTGGGTGATAAAATATAAACCGCAGGGGATTTATTGACCGCCAGCGCCGATGTTTTTGAAAAGAACGAAAATAAAAATAAAACAAGGTCTGTGCATAGGCTGAAGTAACGGCTGCGACATGCACGACGTATGGTCAGCGGAAATCCCAGAACAACTAGCAAGAGGCCTGGTATCTAGTCACTTTTTCGGCGTCCTTGGCAGCAGTGAACTGAAGCGATCACTTGCAAACCTGTGTAGAATTTTTCGTTAGTTTTTCTTTATTAGCGCTGTCATAATGCCACGTAAAGCTCTCACTTGCACTGTAGAGTTAGATGTTTACCAGGTGAGAGATCGAACAATGGATTGTTCATTCAACACACGGAATGTTCCGAGCGTATTCACGTGCCCCTTGCAAATGAAATTTACTTAGTTCATTGTGTCTTTAATTCTCAAGTTCATATTGTCTTTTTTCCTCAGATTACCTGTCCGGGAACACGACACTTGAACGACAGAAATATGCTTTACCTGTCGGTGTGCATTTTAGGGCAGACCAAGCGAACTAAATCAGTGTTTGCAAGTTTTCCTCTTGCACTGAACGAGAGAATGTACTTCGAGAGGGTGAGTGTTCATGTTGAAGGATCTGATGAAAAGCTTCGACCCAGATGTTGTTGTCACTGAGAATAAATAATTAATTAGCGTGGTGACAACATTGATTAATTCGAACTATATACCTTGTTTTGAAGATGACAAGGTTTTTTTCTCCTGTTTTTGCAGACTTTTGTGAATGCACGAGAACCTACACATGTCATGGGAATATTAGAAGGCAAGATACCTACAGCTTTAAAATTTCTTAGCTCTCTATGTGCAAAAAATATATATTATATGTTTTTCCTTTTTTGTAAATTATAGATGAGCATGTGTTGTTTGAACTGGTACAATACTCTGATGTCTACAGAGGTAAGTCAAATATTTTTGGTAGAGCTTGCACAACCCCATATATTACTTGGGTACATGCAGTGAACCTATAGATGTGGATAGTAAACTTGTTTGACTTTTAGGCTCTAATCACACAATACCAGATAGCTTTTAAGGGCTGTCAACCCCCCACGTCGTCAAATATTGAGAATTGATAGGGAGGGGATGATAGATGACGTCATATCACATGGCAACATGACATCATTTGAGTGTGGAATTTTTGCGCTCGTTTTTCAGACGTCATTTGGCGGGGAAACCAGTGGTAGCGTCACCAAATGTCGGCTGTTTTCTCAGGCTACTATAGTGTGTACATAGCCTGAGATGGAAAGTCTACACATGTCTGTGCTGTGCTGAAATTTTTACCGCACTAGAACAGCACACCCAGTAACATTATGTGTCTGGATCTTATTGGGTTAAACAGCCTGATTTAAAACAGTCAGACTTCAGCTGTTATTGGATATCTTATCATTATCAGTCCTTATTTAGCGTATGTGTCACAAACAGTGTGGTCCTGTTAGAGTTAAATTCCTACAAACAACATGACCTTGAAATAGTGACATAAAACTTGATGAAATGGCAACAAATGACGTAAAGATGGGTTGAGTACTGATAGAGCCGTGTCCTTGTTCAAAATGCCAAAACAACCATATTTGAAATTCAGACTAGGGACATACATCCCCCTCATAAGAGGGCCTCTAGAGTGGGCTCGTTACTAAAGATCTTGCTACAGCTCTACTAGTAGACTTGGTCTACACATGAACAGTTCATGTGCTTGAAAATTTTCCCTTTGTCCTTTTTGAATTAATGAATGTATCTTAGCATGAATACGACCAGTCATGCCATGCCAGGAGAGAATGCTCCCTAGTTTTAGATCACTTCACCACTATACCAGATGGTGATCCATTCCCCAGTTTTCCTGTGAAAACAAAGAAGTCTGTACTTTGATGCACCGAAAATTTTTAATGGGGATTCAGTCAGTGCTTACCATAATTTACAAAAACCAGGTGGGTAGAAATCTTGTGCATAAACATGAAAAAATTAAAATTTGATGTGAAGGGAGAACTGACCCGCTGCAAAGCATGTCCAAATCAGCTGAGCAGATTTTCCAGTCAGAATTTCTGATGTAAGTGATAAGTGCTTGGTGTATTACTGGCAATTAGACACTTACATTCTACAATATTTTACATGTTGTTCTTTTGATTTTCTTCTGAAAGGAGGAAAAGTGCTGGCTCGTTATGAAATATCAGCTAGAGAATTTCTCTACCCAACACCCACTCTAACTGGTAAAGATGGTGTTGAAAGGGAACTACTGTTGAGCAGAACAGTGCATTTTACTGTAAGTTGAAATTTATCACAGTTGTGTTATTATTTCAGCAGATTAAAAACAGGAGACATGATGGTTTTCCCACACATATAATTCTTACATAATTATTAATTAAAAGCTACTATGTGCCAATAAGAAGGCTGGCTAAGTTTTAAGATGCTTGGTCCTTAGTAAGGTTTATAAGGTCTAGTAGGGAAAAACTTATTGTGTTAAAAACACGATTGGCAGCTAGAAGAATTTTATAGTTTATTGGGTAAGGGTATTGAGATATTGAAACCTCTGTAGTAACAATGCAATTTCACAACTTTATTAGGAGTTGGTTTTTGAGAATTCGATGGCTCACTGAACTGTAGCACTAAACCCTAAAGTTAGTGTAGAGTGCAGTACTGAAAACATTTTTCCCTTGTGCTAATAATTCTGTGATGTTGTAGGGAATTGATCCAAAGTTGGAATTTTCCTCCAATTCTACAATACATGAAACAACAGTTCCTGGAACTTATGCTGAGCTTACTAGTATTTGGAATGGTGATGAAAGTGCATCTGACTCTGAGGTAAGAAAAGTAGATTTTAATTACCTTAGTTTACAGTTTAATTAAATATCCCCATGCAAATTCCCCATACTGATTTCTGTACATTTCCTTAAAGAATGATTTGAGAGAATTTGATTAAATATCAAAGCATTCTGAGATCTGCTTGTATGTGATCGTATTATTGTGCTTGACGGCAGTGAAAAACATTATTGTGAAGGCGGCTTTGAACTTTAGAGTTTGCGTGTTTGTGAAAAGGGCAGTAAAGGGATAAATGTACTGGACCATACTCCAGTTATTCAAAAATTGGATAGCAATATCTATCAGATAAATCACTACGTACCAGACAAAAGTGTACTGAGTGATTTATCCAGTGGCTGACTTAAATGACAATAAATTTTTATCAGTCTTATAACAGAAATAATTTTTCAGTTAACAAAAAGTCATGATTTTTAATAGCCAGGTGAATAATTAGAACAAGGAATAATGTCTTTTCCTTTGGCTATATATGGATTGTCCATGTTGTTTGTTTCATTTGAGCATAGAAAATCTCCAACGTGCGTCCATAACTCAACAGTACACACTGTGCTGTTTGCCTTTTTTTTGCTTAACTAACGATTTCTAATTTTTGGCAGTCTGAAGGCACTTCTGAGACTGAGGAAGAACTTATACTGAATCCAACCCCAAGACACCTCAGCCATAGTCTGTATGCAAGGGAACATCACTGTGTGTGTGAGTGTCCACGGCGCCCAGAAAACAATGGTAGAGTGACCTTAAGGTCAAGGTCTCTGTCTCCTTCACGTCGACCAAAGTCTGCCACGCCTTCAGTTCGACCCCCATTCAAAGCTGGCAAGGCAGATGAGAGGATCATTTCTCGACGAGACTTTTTGAAGCCCGGAAGATCGAGGCAAAGAAGTAGAACTGCTTATGTCGAGGGAAATCCTGGTAAGGAATTGACATAATTTCAGAAAACTTGCTAAATTCTTTGACGAGTGAAAAAAAAAGTTCATCGAGTGATTCATGACTTGGGTACTTAACCCCACATTTAACCACAGTAAACATTATCAATATTTTGTTACTTTAACTCAATAAACCTTGATCTGATTATCAAAATAATTAATCGTTTTTTCAGAACTATATTATCTGGCAGGCTAAGCTACCTCTCTGTGAACCTTTCCTTTCCTTTTGTTTTTGTTTTTGATTTGCAATTCACAAGAAAAAGGCAGGAAAATGTAATTATTGAGTCAATTTTTTTTTTGGCAGATTTTCTTAGTAACCATAGCCCTTCACTTAAATTCAAATTATTGTCTCATATGTAACTATTAAAACTAGATTTAAATTTTTCACATCGTAGCTCCCTGCCCTGACTGCCGTGTACCCCACAAGGATTGTGTTGTCTGCCAAGCATACTTAAAAGTCTATGGAAGAGATTTTCTAAAGCATCGTTTTGGTCATGAGCTACACAGAAGGACATCTTCAACACCTGCATACACTAGTTTTGCTTCTGAACCTCCAAGAGTTCGAGCTCGTTTACCTGAAAATGACGTCTTGAATGAATCAAAGGCCTATAGTGAACCTATTCCAAGAAGTAGGAGAATATTTCCAAGAGAAAATGGTTATGGCTCATTTCTATCCTCACCAAATCGCGAAAGCTTAACGACAAGATACGCTTCTCCAGTTCCTGTAAGTATGATTCTTTTTTCTCCAATAGGCCATTTCACAGTTATGGATGGAAGCGAGGGTGAGGGTGACCTTGTTTTGATACAAACCTTCTTTGCTTTGTTATGGAAATTGTTCTTGAAAAATACTAGTAAGCATAAGAATAACTTGATTTGCATAATAAAGCAGGAAGGTTTGTATCAAAACAAGGTCACCCTCAGCCTTGCTTCCATCGATAACTGTAAAATGGCCCATTTAATAGATAATATGGATAATTTGGATAAGCCTTAGTTTCTTTGCACCTTGATGGCCCAAGCTTATTTCTGTTCTGTTTATATTTCCGTAGTCTTATCGCTCAAGACAACTACCTGAGATGTCTGATTCAGATGAAGATGACACCGATAGTATGTTGTCCTTGCAGGAATTAAGGTAAGTTTGCTTATAACTTATAAACAGGGCCCAGTTGTTCGAGATGTGAATAATGCTATTCACCGGATAGATCTCTTTTGGTGGATAATGCTGTTGGTTTCCCTATTACTTATCCAGTGGATAGCGCTTCCCAACATGTATTTAAAAAACCAAGGCCAGTGGACAGAAAGGGTAAAGATGGAGATACAATGTACTTTTCAAAATCAAGATTTGCATGTATCAAAAATTTAATACACAAAACCAAACACAGATGTTGCTCAATAGTAGCTTTCATTTCAAAAGTCACCCTTAAGAATTAAATCCTAACTCTGAAGTTCAAAACACCTTGTACAGCTTTAATATAAACAGTGCCACAGGAAAGTACTGCTCAGTAGCTTTCATTTGAATGGTCACACTTTAGGATTTCGTCCATCTACTCAAAAGCTAGAACCACCTTGTAGAGCGTAATTAATGGCAATACAAGGTTGTACTGCTCGCTAGGTTTCACCTGAATGGTCACACTGGGAACAAGGTTTGAGCAGGGTCTGGAAGGGTTATTTCCCGGAATCCGGGATTTTACCAAAATAAATTGCAGGATTCGGGAGAATCTTGACGGGATGCGGGATTTGACTGTTACACGGGAAGCGGAATTCGCCAAAATTTTGAACACGGATGCGGATTGGCAAAGAAAGTTATATTCGGAATAGCGATAAAATGAGTCAAGTTGCGAGATTCTCGTAAAAAGGAGCGGGAAACCCAGATCAGGACCCCTTCATTCCAGGCCCTATTTAAGCTATTTGTATCTGATTTCAGATCTGAGATAAACGATGCTCGACTTGAATCACTTGATAGATCATTTGAGGATCCCCAGCACCCGACACTAGGCACTAGACTAGATAGAAGGTAACCTGGTAACTTAAATAATAGGTGGTTAGAAAGAATTAGCGGGCGGATTTATGCTAGCCAGAAACGCAGATTTAAATAATAACGATATTTATCCTTATCCACTTTCGAAACTGTTTACCACTGTTTTCCCTTCGAAATGACGTCTGAGACACGACCGGAGAAATTCCATACTGATGACGCATCCCTACCCAGATCTGGGTAGTGACACGTCATCAATATGGAATTTCTGTGCTCATTTCTCAGACGTCATTTCGCGGGGAAACCAGCGGTGACTTTGCGAAATGTCGGGTATTTTTCACAAGCTTTTCACAGGCTATTCGCACGTAAGTGCTTACTGTTTTACACGGATTTGTACTAACGTAGTCACACAAATAGGGCGGTTAAAATTAGACTTGGGAACGCTGTCACTAGAAGCAAACCCAAGAAAATGCCATATTTAACGCTTTTCTTTTAAGAATTTGATAGTCTATTGATTGAGCTTCCATAAATAGCTGCGTTAAACATCAAGACTTTTGTAGGCAGAAGCTAAAAGCGTTAGTCGTCAGTAGCAATTACATCTCTGTGTGTCCGATTTTCAGTTTGCGAGGTTATTGACAAGCAAGTTTTATGGACACATCGTTCTGCGGTATTAAGGTGAAATGTCTTCATACTTTCTTGTGTTGGTTTTGGGAAACACAATTAGGCACTTCCCTGATTAAAAACTGAGTTCACCCTGGCCAATCTCTCTGGTAATTTTAAGAAAAAACAATTTTAATAAGTTATGAAATGTTTCCTTTTTTAGTATAACTGTGCCGCTCTCTCAAGACAAGTTCTGGTCTAGTCGCATGGCTGAATTTACAGGGAGGTCACATCGAGCGTTGTTCGACGAATCCTTACAAGAATTATATACAGATCTCTACAACAAAACTAGAGATTTATAACAGTGTTTTAATATTTAAAGAGTTTGAACTCATTTGATCCAAGCAGAGTTATAGCAGATTTTTACTTTTATAAATACTTAAGTAGGGGTTTAAAATATTAAAAAGGGCAAACGTCTTCTCATACAAGTCTTAGCAAGCTGTCTAAAGATCTTTCAAGAGTAGGATATATTGTCTACGTTTTTTAAAACGTATTAGTAAACATCTCCTGAGCCTAGTTCTATAATGCTCAAGAGTTTTGTACTTTTAGAGAGGCAAATTGAATAAAGTAATACTTAAAATCGGTCAAATGAGCATCTGTCACTTTTTTTGTTTGAATTTTGTTGTTACCTCCAAGCATAGCATACGCACAGCATACGAAACGTCAATTAAAAAGTTATATTTTTCCCGCTATGCGTTTTTGCCTTTTTCTATCACCGCAGTTTGCGTATTATATCTTACCATCTACATGTTTGCTGCTTGAGTTACTTGACATTCACAGAGTGCAGGTTAGAGTACTACACTCAGGGTAGCAAAAGGGTTTACAAAAGTCGAGGCCAATCCGTGACGCGTGATGGGACTCAAATTATCAGCGTGATGCGTGATCGGGCGCAAATTAGCCGAGTGAGGCGTGATTGGGCATAGCAGCTTGATGCATGATTTACTATTTTCACAACGCGTGAAGCGTGATGTTCCTTTGAAATTTATTTGATACTAGAAGCAGAGACATTAAAAATACATAGTTATGACACCAACTTCATGCCCTTCTTTCTCGTTCCTCGAACTCTGATTTCCTCAAATCAAATTATAATAGGATACTTGTTAATGAAGAAAATATTTTAATTAATTTTTCCGTGATGCGTGATAGGTTCACCTCCCAGCCCCCTACCCTCTTTGGCACCCTATACACTGCTTAAGTATATAAACAGCACTAAAACTGTCTTCCAGCCCTAATCACAATCCAAAATAGAGTTAAAGGGGGCTACGCTCATATGAAACCAAGAATGCCACCCGTACCCGTAAGCGCTTGATCCTGATGATCTTACGAAAAAATAGGGAACAGTGAACAGTCTAGTAGCATGGTGAGAAGTGAGGAATGTCTTTCCTGACGACTTCACCAGTCAGTTTTCCTCTGCCACCCCCTGAAAACTTGGCCCGAGTGGCAAGCATTCTTCACTCTCGTCGCAAGGGTACGTCGTGTCTTGGTCACGTGGCTCGTTACAAATTAAGCCGAGTGGCTCTGGGGACAAGAATGGCATTTCTTCGTCTCCAGTTATTGCGCGCGCGGGCTATTGAACACAAAAACACACTTTTTTTCGGGCAAATTCTGCGAAAAAAGGTATTGTTTCTGGTCTTCAACAAAGCTCTTGTTATGCAAATTTATATACAGCGCTAGATTTAAAAACTAAATGTTTTATATATAGACAGACTAAAAAGATTATTGAACTTCTAAAAATAGTTTGCAGGCGGTTAATTTGACTCTAAGGTTTTATGCCATTTGAAAAAACAGTTTTTTGGCAAGATACATCGACTCTTGACCCGTAACTATACTGAAGCGTAAGCAAGTTGTTCTTTAAGGGTTGTGACATGTACGTGTAAGAAGTCCTCGTAGCTCGGCGTTTAAGGTCTTCGGGAACAGCCTCCACAGTCAAAGACGATCAACTTCAGCAAAGCCTTCGATTAAATATCTATTTCTATCAGAGCTGTAAACATTTGAAACAAGATATTAACTAAAGACTGGTCGTATCTACGACATCCACCGAACTCACTTTTCTTTAGGAAAGTTAAAGCTGCAATATAGTTTTGCACCGACGGGCGCGATGCAATCTTCTTCGAGCGAGCAAATTGCGAGCCATTTCATGATGTATTTTTGTACTTCAGGTGTGTTAATCATACTCATCGAATTGGCCTCGAACATATCTTTGACTGAGTCATTTGTTTTGATGGGTATGTATTCCATCATTCCCGGGTGTGTTGCGGCGATTATAGAATGACCAGTTATTCCCACAAAGAACATAAATCCCGACCTCTGACGAGCCAAACGTTTTAGGACTTCGTGCGTGTTTGTCCCTTTAAATTTGATCGATGAATCAAACCACATGGTGTTATCAAACTCTCCCCAAATTTCTTGAATCCTTCGCTTTTCCCACCCCGCTGCCAGAACGCCCCGGAGAGCTAGCTCGCAGACTAAACAGGTGTCTCTTAAGCACTATAAATAGAACTCACAAGGATGCTATAAAAATGAACATTAGGAGTTTTCTTTATTTCACAAGTTCTTTTTTGTCTTCCATCTACATATATGCAGCTACCTGTATTTTAGACTGTTTCTGCCAGTTTTCATCTCCCCCCTCCCCCTGAAAACTTTGTCGGCTTAGCAAGCATTTCCGCTCTTGTTACTGCGCGCGCAGGTTATTGAAAACAAAAATCCTTTTAATTTTTTCTTCCTAATGCAAATTTAGCCTCCTCGCAGACGTCCATGCGTGACGAACGAACCGCAAAGGACGCCTGCGGGGAGGCTGATGCAAATTCTGCGAAGTGAGAATATTGCGGTTTTGGCCTTGAGCAAGGCTCCCGTCACGGAATGTGCAAATCTTTACGCAACGCTAGATTTAAGAACAAAGCGTGTTATATATAATGACAATAAAAAGATCATTTCACTTTTAACAGAAAGTTTGTAGTTCAGTTCAGAACTCTAAGGGTCGGTTATTTAAACGAGGTCTAACTTAGACTGCGGTTTAAGAAATCTTTTTACTTCCAGATCTCTTCAGTCTTTAGTGGGTAAATTTAAGAAGATAAATGCTTTTCTGGTCTTCATTATATGCATTAATGAAACTGTTCACGACAAATGGTGCTTAGATAAAAGCGTTGAGGGAAACTGAAAATGACATAGAACGCGGTTTTGTTAAAAAGTGATTAAACTCCGTTTAAATAACCGGCCCTGAGGTTTTCTATCATTTAAAGACACTATCCCCTGACACTATTTTGGCAAGACTGCATCAACTCTTGCCTCGTAACTGTAATGAAGCGTAAACAAGTAATGACTTTTAAGAATGAATTCGTGACCTATAAAAACAACGTGTATTTTTTTATAAGGAGACCTCGCGGCTACTGTAGCTGTTTCAGGTCTTACATAGGGCAAGGAGAAAGCCTCTGCAGTCAAAGACGTTCAACTTCAGCAAAGTCTCGGAAGACATATCTATTTGTATCAGAGCTGTAAACATTTGAAACCAAGATATTGACTAAAGATTGGTCGTATCTGTGGCATCCTCCAAACTTATCTTTTGGAAAGTTGAAGCCGCAGTATAGTTTTGCACCGACGGGCGCGATGCAATCTTCTTCGAGCGCACAAGTTACAAGCCATTTCATGATGTGTGTTTGTACTTCAGGTGTGTTAATCACAATCATTGAATTTGCCTCGAACATATCTTTGACTGCATCATTTGTTTTGATGGGTATATACTCCATCATTCCCGGGTGTGTTGCGGCGATTATAGAATGACCGGTTATTCCTACAAAAAACAAAAATCCCGACCTTTGACGAGCCAAACGTTGTAGGACTTCGTGCGTGTTAGTCCCTTTAAATTTGATCGATGTATCAAACCACATGGCTCCATCAAACTCTCCCAAAATTTCTTGAATTATAAGCGGCTTCCATGCGTAATTTACCAGGTTACTAACATGCGGTGGATATTCATTGAAGTCAAACTTTCTGTACTGCACAAAAGGAAGATTCTTCAAAATGAACTTTACTTGTGAACGAGTCAATCCAAGGTCATAAAAAATCACTCTTATACCTGGAAATAGTTTTGCGAAAGTTGAAATGTGTTTTCGGAACTCTTCGAAGTGATTGCTTGAAGCTCCAGTGACAGGAACAACGAGATCAAAAAATGAAGTTTTTGGGTCTATTGTTTTGACCGGTCTTCGCTTAAATGTTTGCTCTCTATGGATTTTCTCTATCTTTTGGAAGGTTTCGTCGTCGACATTGAAATCTTTGCCGGCCAAATTTTCTCCACTTTCCGCCTTTTTTATGTAATAATGACCAACAGAGTATTTCCAATTCGGCGAAAGATGTTGACGACGCTGTCGAAAGCTTAGAAACTTAGTGGAGCAACAAAGGAGGATGATAAGTACTATTGCTACTCCCAGCCTGGTCTTTAACCGAGTTAGCCTTAACCGCATTCCCAAGGCTGAAAAAGATGACCGAAAATAACGTCGAAAATGAATGTCAAAGATGGGCCTACTTTTGCAAAATGCAAATGATCAAACAAACCGTCACGCGTGCAGGCTTGTACGCAAATTTGCTCGAAAACTGTGTCCGTCCAGCCTAGCGTTCTCTCTGACGTCACCGAGAGATACTTTTCGACAAGGTCAGCATTAGATCCCATCAGATGGATGGAGGGGAAATAATTTAAGTACATAGAGCATCAACCCCAACCCAAAAAGAGAACCTAACCAGCGCTTAAACCTATTTACTAAATGCAGTCCTTAACCCTAATACATAAACACGAAAACTACGTTGTGTAAATTTCATGAAGTGTCTGAAGGGGCCACGGTTGATGGGATCTAATGACAATTAATGCATCAGTCAATTCCAGCTGCGCTGCGCTGCGCTCGCGTTACCCTGCGAGCAGAGGCCCTTTGATCTTCGTAGGTAAGTCTAAGGGCCTCTGCTCGCGGGCTACACATCAATTGAATTCTAAAAATAACTGTCCAGTATCGTTATTTAAGGGCGCTTTCCAAAAGTCAGAACTGTCCGGCCGGACCAGACATTTAGGCAATAAAATAGGCTTTTTCCAAGAGGTTTTGCTGAACAACCATCTCCTTTGTACATAATATTTAGGACTAATTTGTCGAATCTGGATGGTTGGCTTTGATCAAAAGTAAAATTCTCATTACAATGGGAATGGGCTGGCCGGTCAGTTCTCTGACGCCCTGAGACTATACAGTCATGTATTTAGGCATTAAACCTTTGTCTCTGTGCTATTATGGCTCTTGCCTTAGACTATACCGTCATGTATTTAGGCACTGAACCTTTTTTTCTGTTGCAACGGATGACAAGAAAGGAGATCGAGTAAATTCCGACAAGCGACATGTTCCAAAAAGTAGCGACAGCGCGTAAAATGAAATCGCGACAAGAGGCAACCTCCCTCGACCAAATTGCGACAGTGACGGCAAAGCCGACAATAAGCGACAAGCATTTATAAACGCCGACACGAGACGTTTTAAAATTCAGACGGGCGACATCCCCGCCCCCCCCCCCGCCCCCCCCCCCCCCCCCCCCCCCCCGCCGCACCCCCCCCCCCGCTCCCCGCAACACTCCCCACAACAACACCACAAACACAACACCAAAACAACAGACACACAGCATCCACTATAACTATTTCTTTTTTTCTACTCTATCAGGGGGCCCCCCCCCCCCCCCCCCCCCCCGCCCCTGGCAGGGCCTCATCGATTGAAACTTGAAAACACTGGGCCAACTTTTAATGCCTGCAAAAATAACCAAACAAAATATTATGGTTACTACTCTGTGACGAAATTTCTTTGCTATCTTCTTCCTAATGTTACAGGACCATTTTGTATATGTCGAAGAGAATGACCTCAGCACAGAATTAACCTAAAATAGCCATAGCCTCAGTTTAACCCTTTAAGCCCTAAGAGTGATCAGCATCAAATTTCTCCTTGTGATGTGAATGCTTTGTAAAACAGTGTAGTCATGAGAATTACGGAAATGATCACACAAGATGAATTTACTTGATATTTTTATCAACTTCTCCTCACTACTTCTACAGGAAATGGATAGGGACAACAAATGAGATTTCAAATTGTGATGTTAGGGCTTAAAGGGTTAAGCTTAAGGGATACTGTATACAGTCGAACCTCTCGTAAGCGACCACCCAAAATAAAAAGACTGATTGGTCGCCTACGGGTAGCCTGTGTAGCAGGCGTCGAAAAGCGTTACTGGCGGCCATCTTGAATGAGTGTCAAATCCACTAAGGGGGCGGGGGACAGTTAAGTTCCCACGGCCATCCGCTCGGCTCATATAAAACCAAGATGAACACCCGTACCCATAAGCGCTCGATCCTGACGATCTTACGAAAATATAGGGGGACAGTGAACAGTCTAGTAGCATGGTGATTTGTGGCCTGAAGTGAGGGACGTCTTTCCTGACGACTTCACCTGCCAGTTTTCCTCCGCCTCCCCCTGAAAACTTGGCCCGCGTGTCAAGCATTCTTCATTCTCGTCCCAAGAGCCCGTCGTTTCTTGATCACGTGGTTCGCTACAAATTAAGCCGAGTGGCTCTGGGAACGAGAATGGCATTACTTCGTCTCCAGTCATTGCACGCAAACGCTATTGAACACAAAAATCCCCTTTTTTCAGGCAAATTTTACGAAAAAAGCTATTGTTTCTGGCCTTCAACAAAGCTCCCGTTATCCAAGTTTATATACAGCGCTAGACTTAAAAACAAAATGTTTTATATATAGACAGACTAAAAGATTATTGAACTTCTAAAAGAAAGTTTGCGGTTCGGATCAGAACTCTAGGGTTTTCTGCCATTTGAAAAAACATTTTTTGGCAAGATGCATCGACTCTTGACCCGTAACTATACTGAAGCGTAAACAAGTTGTTCTTTAACACGTGTACGAAGTCCTCGTAGCTCGGTGTTAAAGGTCTTCGGGAAACTGAGCCTCTACAGTCACAGACGATCAACCTCAGCAAAGCTTTCGAAGACATATCTCTTTCTATCAGAGCTTTAAACATTTGAAACCAAGATATTGACCAAAAACTGGTCGTATATACGATATCCACCGAAATTTTCTTTAGGAAAGGTAAAGCACTCTGTATATTTCTGCACCAACGGGCGCGATGCAATCTTCTTCGAGCGCGCAAATGGCGAGCCATTTCATGATGTGTTTTTGTACTTCAGGCGTGTTAATCACAATCATTGAATTTGCCTCGAACATACTGTTTGACTGCATCATTTGTTTTGATGGGTATGTATTCCATCATTCCCGGGTGTGTTGCGGCGATTATAGAATGTCAAGTTTTCTCTTCAAGAACATAAATAAAGACCTCTGACGAGCCAAACGTTTTAGGACTTCGTGCGTGTTAGTCCCTTTAAAGTTGATCGATGAATCAAACCATGCACATGGTTCCATCAAACTCTCTCAAAATTTCTTCAATCCTTCCCTTTTCCCACCCCGCTGCCAGAGCGCTCCGGAGAGATAGCTCGCAGACTATAAAGGTGTCTTTAAAGCACTATAACTCGAACTCACAACGAAGTCATAAAAATGAACATTAGGCGTTTTCTTTATTTCACAAGTTCTTCTTTGTCTGCCATCTACATAAATGCAGTTACCTGTATTTTAGACTGTTTCTACCAGTTTTCCTCTCCCCCTTCCCCTGAAAACTTTGTCCACTTAGCAAGCATTTCCACCGGCTTGTTACTGCGCGCGCAGGCTATTGAAAACAAAAATCCTTTTATTTTTTCTTGCTGATGCAAGGCTCCCGTTGAATATGCAAATCTTTACGCAACGCTAGATTTAAGAACAAAGCGTGTTATATATAATCACAATAAAAAGATCACTTCACTTTTAACAGAAAGTTTGTAGTTCGGTTCAGAACTCTAAGGGTTGGTTATTTAAACGAGGTCTAACTTAGACCGCGGTTTAAGAAATCTTTGTACTTCCAGATCTCTTCTTTAGTGGGTCAATTTAAGAAGATAAATGCTTTTCTAGTCTTCATTATATGCTTTAATGAAACTGCTCACGACAAATGGTGCTTAGATAAAAGCGTTGAGCAAACTGAAAATGACTTAAACGCGGTTTTGTTAAAAACTGATTAAACTCCGCTTAAATAACCGGCCCTGAGGTTTTCTGTCGTTTGAAAAGACACTATTTTGGCAAGACTGCATCAATTCTTGCCTCGTAACTGTGATGAAGCGCAAACAAGTAATGACTTTTAAGAATGATTTCGCGACCTATAAAAAACGTGTATTTTTTTATAAGAAGACCTCGCGGCTACTGTAGCCAGCGCCGTAGCTAGTATGAGGCCAACCGAGGCACTCGCCTCGGTAAAATTTTGACGAATTTCGCCGATCATTTTTATTTTACATAAGCGATCATCGGTTATCTTTAACGCATCATGATATTACAAAGAATTCAGCAATTCAGTCAATATACTATGAAAAAATTACCATATCATCGATCTCAAGGGGCTACGTACGTTAACTCAAATTTTTTTTGAACAAATACTGATCAAAACCATTGGCGAGGTTAACGGTCACCCAGATTATGTAGCTTGTTTCTGATTATTGCTTTTTAAATTCCACTTAAATTAACTCGAAAAAAAGTTACCGAAAGGCCCAGAAAACGCTGCAAATCGCATTTCCGAGAGACTAAAGTTCAAAATTTCTCGGGGGGGGGCATGCCCCCGAACCCCCCTAGCAACTCCCGCCTGCCTCGGTTGGCCGTTTGGTCTGGCTACGGCACTGGTAGCTGTTTCAGGTTTTACATAAGGGCAAGGACAAAGCCCTGAAAGCCTCTACAGTCAAAGACGATCAACTTCAGCAAAGCCTTCGAAGACATATCTCTTTCTATCAGAGCTGTACACATTTGAAACCAAGATATTGACTAAAGATTGGTCGTATCTGTGGCATCCTCCAAACTTATCTTTAGGAAAGTTGAAGCCGCAGTATAGTTTTGCACCGACGGGCGCGATGCAGTCTTCTTTGAGCGCACAAGTTACAAGCCATTTCATGATGTGTTTTTGTACTTCAGGCGTGTTAATCACAATCATTGAATTTGCCTCGAACATATCTTTGACTGCATCATTTGTTTTGATGGGTATGTATTCCATCATTCCCGGGTGTGTTGCGGCGATTATGGAATGACCAGTTATTCCCACAAAGAACATAAATCCCGACCTCTGACGAGCCAAACGTTGTAGGACTTCGTGCGTGTTATTCCCTTTAAATTTGATCGATGAATCAAACCACATGGCTCCATCAAACTCTCCCAAAATTTCTTGAATTATAAGCGGTTTCCATGCATAATTTATCAGGGTACTAACATGCGGTGGATATTCATTGGAGTCAAACATTCTGTATTGCACAAAGGGAAGATTCTTCAAAATGAACCTTACTTGCGAACGAGTCAATCCAAGGTCATAAAAAATCACTCTTATACCTGGAAATAGTTTTGCGAAAATTGAAATGTGTGCTTGGAACTCTTCGAAGTGATTGCTTGAAGCTCCAGTGACAGGAACAACGAGATCGAAAAATGAAGTTTTTGCGTCTATTGTTTTGACCGGTCTCCGCTTAAATGTTTGCTCTCTATGGATTTTCTCTATCATTTGCAAGGTTTCGTTGTCGACCTTGAACTCTTTCGCGGCCAAATGTTCTCCACTTTCCGCCGTTTTTATGTAATAATGACCAACAGAGTATTTCCAATTCGGCGAAAGATGTCGACGGCGCTGTCGAAAGCTTAGAAACTGAATGGAGCTACAAAGGAAGATTATAAGTACTATTGCTCCTCCCAGCATCTGTAACCATGTTACCCTTAACCGCATTCCCAAGGCTGAAAAAGATGACTGAAAATAACGTCGAAAATACATGTCAAAGATGGGCCTACTTTTGCAAAATGCAGATGATCAAACAAATCGCTGAAGCGTGCAGGCTTGTACGCAAATTTGCCCGAAAAAGTGTCCGCCCAGCCTGGTTCCTAAGTGTTCTCTACTCAGTCAATCCTGGACTCTACGTGAGCTCTGACGTCACCGAGAGATACTTTCCGCGAAGGTGCGATTTTAAGCCCCGGGGCTTATATTTTTCAAAGGCTCTTTTTGAGGGGCTTATACTCGAAGGGGCTTATCTACGATGGGAAATTTGCGTTTCAAAACCGATTGGGTTAGCCTCATAGTTGGAAGTAAATTTACCGTTTTTGCTTTGTTTTACTTTGTATGTGAGGGCAATTTTCCAAGTACAAGCACCCGGGGGGCTTATATTCAACCTCGTCCCCAGGGCGCTTTTCCCTGGCTTTGGTGGCGGGGCCCCCAAAGCCAGGGAAAAGCGCCCTGGGGACGAGGTTGGCTTATATTTGGAGGGGCGATTTAACGGAGGGTGTTTTGCGTTACCGGTTTGGGGGGCTCATATTTGAAGGCGCTTATTTACGGAATTTTACGGTAATTAAAGTACATAGAGCATCAACCCCTACCCAAAAAAAGACATATTAAATTCTGCAAGCAGAATACTGCAATGCTGATCGTACTACGTGAAAATTAAGAACTTAACCAGCGCTTAACCCTATTTACTCAGGGGCGGATCCTGGATTTTTTTTAGGAGGGGATGCACTCGTCTCTTGCTCTGCTTCAACACCAATAAACCACTTTTTTTTTTGTTGCAGAATACCAGTTGTACTAGAAAACCGCAGGTCATCTCAGAGGGGGGGGGGGTGCGCACCCCCTGCACCCTCCCCCTAGATCCGCCCCTGTTACTAAAAGCAGTCCTTAACCCTAATACATAAACACGAAAGCTATGTTGTGTAAATTTCATGAGGTGTCTGAAGGGGCTACGGTTGATGGGATTTAATGATAACTTAAATGATAACCTACCATTATACTTTTTCTCGCCCGCTCTTTCCCAGACTTCGCGCGGACAACGGTTCAAGAGAGAACGTCTTGGGACTAGGCTGGCGGACACTTTTTCGGGCAAATTTGCGTGCTTAGAGTTCGGGTAAAAAAGGTTTTTCAAGATTTTCAGCGAGTTTTAATTTCGGAAACGCATTTTTTTACACTTAATAGTTTAATTTCAAGATATAAGTAATTCCAATTGCTCTACAGGCGGCAGGAGCTTTCCGCAGGTGACGGGTGACGGGTGAGTCCAATTTGTAAATATAGAATAAATAAATAATTACAAAGGTATTGATAGGAAATATGAAACGTAATTCATTCCTTATTTTCTCGGCTTCCATTTGTAATTATTTATTTATACTCTTTTTACCTTTCAAATTTCTTTCATGTCACTTCTTCAACGGTTTTTGTTTTCATATACTTTTAGCGTTCGCTTTTTTCTTATTTCACGTGTTAGTATAGTATCATATTGCACGCTATTCTTTATTTCAAATTGTATTGTATGTAGGACCCTGAAAAATATTGGTAACAAAAAATATATACGAGGGTCTGGATGGATGTCGGTTGTCAGAAAATTTTGGCCATTTGTCAGTTGTCAATTATATTTTAGGTTTTTTGTCAGTTGTCAGTTAAATTATTATTAATAATTAACTATGGTTATTTTTTATCCAAGTTTAGCTAAAAAGGCGCACGTAATATAAATTAAACATTAACAGAAACCCCTTACGAGTTTCTGACATTTATTAAATTGGAAAACTGATGCAATATAGTAACAAAATTTCTATCAGTTTCCGATTGAAAGCCCTCCTACCAAAACTTGTTTTTCTCCTCCACACAAACGTTTTTGCTGGCGAAGGTCCAACATTTCCAGCCATTAAGCCAATCAAAATTTATACCTTCAGAATACTGGAACTAGATCGTAAGAAAGACCAAGAAAGACCGTATCTGAATCATCTAGGCCTTGAAAGGGGTAGCCTGCGTAGCAAGCGTTTCCGTTTGGTTTCGGAGCAAAGAAATACTTAGGAAGGGTACTTTCGGTTTTGACCGCGCGAGGAATGAAACGAGAGCCAAAAAGTGAAAAACCCTAACCCTAACACTAACACTAACCCCCCTCCCCGGTCTTTTACTTTCGCCACTTTTCTTGCGGTCTGTGACTCTCGTTCCGCGTTCTTTTCTCCTAAACCGCACAGAAACGCTTGTTGCACAGGCTATGAAAGGGGTTTGTAGAAAACAAAGGACAACCATCAGGCCCTTTGTCGGTTGAAAGTAAAACCCAAGGCAAATGTCAGTTGTCAGTTAAATTTTAGGTGATTTATCAGTTGTCAGTTGAAGTTTTGGCCATTTGTTCACAAACAGATCACGCTCGCGCGTGCGCATAATCGGCACACTGCCCCCGTAAGCCCCCGTAAGGGGAAGGTTTGTTTGTTGATCCTGCACGCAAGGACAACAAGATCTGCATGTTGCGAAAGGAAACCCATATACTTCTGTTCTAAACGTTTTCAGCCATGGGAATGTGGCGAAGACTTACTTGGTTACTCATACTGGCTGCATTAGTGCTCGTAATAATCTTCCTTTTTAGCTCCACTCGGTTTCTGCCCGAACAATACATTCGGTGGCTTCGGTCGAGTAGGGCGAGTAGGAATTCTCAGCTGCATTCTACGGGCCATTTCCATTATCACATAAACAGGACCAAAAGCGCAGGTACTTTGGCCGGCAAAGATTTCAAGGTCGACGACGAAACCTTGCAAATGATGGAGAAAATCCATAGAGAGCAAACATTTAAGCGGAGACCGGTCAAAACAATAGACGCAAAAACTTTATTTTTCCATCTCGTTGTTCCTGTCACTGGAGCTTCAAGCAATCACTTCGAAGAGTTCCGACAGCACATTTCAACTTTCGCAAAACTGTTTCCAGGTATAAGAGTGATTTTTTATGACCTTGGATTGACTCGTTCACAAGTAGAGTTCATTTTGAAGAATCTTCCCTTTGTGCAGTACAGAAAGTTTGACTTCAACGAATATCCACCACATGTTAGTAACCTAGCAAATTACGCATGGAAGCCGCTTATAATTCAAAAAATTTTGGGAGAGTTTGATGGCGCCATGTGGTTTGATACATCGATCAAATTTAAAGGGAATAACACGCACGAAGTCCTACAACGTTTGGCTCGTCAAAGGTCGGGATTTATGTTCTTTGTAGGAATAACTGGTCATTCTATAATCGCCGCAACACACCCGGGAATGATGGAATACATACCCATCAAAACAAATGACTCAGTCAAAGATATGTTCGAGGCAAATTCAATGATTGTGATTAACACACCTGAAGTACAAACACACATCATGAAATGGCTTGTAACTTGTGCGCTCAAAGAAGACTGCATCGCGCCCGTCGGTGCAAAATTATACTGCGGCTTCAACTTTCCGAAAGATAAGTTTGGAGGATGTCATAGATACGACCAGTCTTTAGTCAATATCTTGGTTTCAAATGCTTACAGTTCTGATAGAAATAGATATGTCTTCCAAGGCTTTGCTGGTGTTGAACGTCTTTGACTTTACAAGTTTTCCGCTAGCCTCAAGGGTCCACCACGCTTGCCAAATCCAATGCTAAATGAGCTAAATCATGTTGGGAGCAGAGCGAAAATGTAGCGTGATCTGTTGCGTTCGTAACAGGCTACGCTCGCAGGATAATTGATCTTGTCTAAACAGTAAAGCAGGTATTAGAACTGCCGTAAAGTCAAAAAATGACCATGCTTATAAAATCGCTTATTTGAAATGTACTCTTAACGTGAACTCAAATCCCAAAAACGAAGCCGAGAAAATGAAGGCCAAAGTAATAACCCGTAGAGGACGTATAAACGCAATAACGCGTTATGAGTTTCAAGTTATCTAGGGAAACTTATAGCAAAATTCGCTTACATTCTGCTTCCCCAAATAAAGTACGATTGTTTCGATATTTCTTAATCATTTCTACGGCTATAAAAAGCCTTCTATATATGGAGACACATTAGATATTTGATCCTTGGAAGGTCGATGACAGATAAAGCCATCATCATTCTCAGAATAAGCGATTTTTGAGGCGAGCATTATGCCGAGGCATTATGCCCGCAGAATAAGGCATTTTCGAATAGAATTTGGGCAGAATAAGGAAAACTCAGCGGCACTAATGCTATGCATAAAAGTTGTAAGAAAAATTAAAAACTAAATAAAACTGAGCAAATGGAAAATACCTTGTCATTAATTTGATTGTTCAGCGATCACGCACACACATTAAAAGTAAGATGAATTACAATTTGCTAACGCATAATGAGTATCTTTTTAATTTTATCGATATTTAGTTTTTAGGTGCTTTTCGGATACCGATTGGAATTCGAGCAGAATTTTGAGCGGAATGAGCGATTTTTATGAGCACTGCCGGCGGGCAGAATAAGCCATTTTCCGAGCAGAATTTATCCACGCGTACATCATCATCATCAAACTTTATTTAACCACGTGCACGGTATCTCTTCACTACAAAACTCTCTTCCAGAGAGCCGTGCCCTAAATTGCAATAGTATAATCTAAGGTAATAGCTTATATAGAAATATATATATCTAGCCGAATTTTTGAAAACATACCTCAAAATGGACCAGAATATTCGCACAGAAAGCTGGCGATCGCCAGCTTTCTGGTCACTGCGGTGCGAAAAAACATAGGGGGCTTGCTGTCCTGGTTGGTCTCATTGACAAGTTCAGTCCCTGAGCTAACTCGCCATGGGTTGGAAAGGGGCCTCCATGTCAATCCCTAGGGGGGTAGGGTGCTGAAAAAGCGTTGTACCTTCCGTTAGTCCTGGTCTGGGAGAGTCAGTGCACTGCTCATGTCTGCCTTTGGTTTGTCATGTCAAATTCTTGTAACGTTTGAGGCCCATTGGCCAATGAAAGCATTCCCCTTAAGCACGTGCTAGGCTGGGGGGGTGGAGGAAGTCAGGGGGGGTGATTTAACCTTGAATTTCTCTGCTTAGAACTTGCTTAAGTCTCAAGCGTCCTCCGTCATTCAGGGCCTTTAAGCAGCTAGAGTGTATGGACAAGTCCAGAGTGTCTTTTTGATGGACTGGAATGTTTCTTTTGCTAATCAGGAACCAAGAAGAGAGTCAACTTAAGAGAACCATGGGTAAGAGCTGAGTGTCTTGGCCATATTTACTTTAGTTGAGTCAGTTTAAGGTGTGTGGGCTGCTGGTGTCCGATGGTACGGTTTTCATAAATCCGGCTAGATGTATATATATATTTTTTACTGTATCCACGTGGCTTGTGGCTTTGTGTGTTCAGATGTCTGTAGCATGGGCCAATAAGGTTGAAGGTACTATGAGTTTATTGTTTGGAACCAATGAGGTTTTGGCATCTAAACATGACATTGCTAAAGGTCAAACAAGGCCGGATATTTTGAGACCGCCATCTTGATTCTTGACAATTTTTTCGTCTTTTATCACGGCTAAAGGTGTTTAGAAGCATAACATTGAAATATCTTCATGATTCAAACGCTGAGTACAGTGATGCAGTTGTTTAAGTGTTCGTATTTTAGTGTGGGTGCTACTTCAAAACATTTCTGACCTAATTCGGCTATCGCGATCGAACGTAATGTATGAGCTCTGTTTCACCTGCTTCAAGGTAGAGTATAAGAGATGATATAATTTCCACAGTTCTTCCAATAAAACAATAATTGTAATTCAGTTAGATATGGACTTTATTTCGGGAGTATGCGGCCTGCAATTTGAGGTTTTATTTAGTGAAGATGCGTAACTTAAGTAGAAACAATAGCGTAAGGGAATAAAATTGAAAGAAGTCAAAAATAATTAGATATTGTTTTATTGAGTGGAATAACATGATATGAGTACAAATATGTTTTGGCAGTATAATAATTTTCTTGGAAGTAAATAAAATAAATGTTAGGCTATCAACTTCAACGTTGCATGAAACATAACTTAATTGCAGATGTTGTAAAGCCTGGGTGATTTCTTGAAATCGTTTCAGCAAAACGGAGCTTTACGGAGTAGGTGAACAAAACACAAAAAGTTTCTTTTTCGAAACTCTGATACGGACCTTTCGGATTCAATACAGAAAAAATCGCCAACTTTTGACAAATTAAATGAAACTGAATAAGATCGATGAAGTTTGAAACAGCGCGAATTTACCCTTTTAGTGAATTTTCGGCTTCTTGTCATCCAAAAATTTTGCAACCATGGCAACGTGACGTAACGACTTCTCTAGACCTTTTTACCGATACGGCGGCCATATTGAATTAATTCGATTTAAGGAGTATTATAGGATACCCAGGGGGCATGAGCAGATTTCGTTTGTATTTTCGGGCGCTTTTCGGGACATTTTTTCTTAAAGTTTTCTTAGAAAGAGATTGTAATGGGAAAAAAGATCCTTGTACCGTGTTTGGATGTAATAATGATCGCCTTTTTCTAGTTAAGTATTTGAAATGTGGTCTTTCACTGTACATTTCTCGGCAAAAAGGCGATCATTATTACATCCAAACACGGCACAGGGATCTTTTTTCCCATTACAGTCTTATTCTAAGAAAACTTTGCGAAAAAATGTCCCGAAAAGCGCTCGAAAATACAAACGAAATGTGCTCAAGCCCCCTGGGCATCCTATAATACTCCTTAAATCGAATTGATTCTATATGGACGCCGTATCGGTAAAAAGGTCTATTGACGGCTCAATCTCGTACCCAGAGCCTTCAGGATTTTTGGTCAGCAAAGGCTGACAAAAAAGCCTGAAGAGTTATGGGTACGAGATTGTTGACAGCGGTATTTTAATTTCACTGGGAAGGCCATTCCACAGCACTGCACCACGATAACCGAAACTCTTCCTCGCAGCATCTGTTTCCGGTCTTCGAATATTGTTTGAGCTACCTCTAAGGTTGTATGGATGCACTTGTGAGATAGGTTCAAATAAAGATTTCAGGTCTACGGTATAATATAAACGCAGACCGCCAACTGCTTTTTACGCCTTTCATCAAGAGTTTCCCAACCGAGGTCATTCAAGATATCAATGGATCGATATTCGTAGCCTAAATAAGTTATTATTCTTGCAGCTCTATTTTGCAATTTCTGGAGTCTGTCAGACAGGCGTTTACCTAAGCATTCCCACACCTCACTACAATAATCAAAATATGGCAATATAAGGGCCTCATACATCCTAATTTATGTCTGGCGGGGTACGTAATCGTGAACCTTTTTTAACGCTCCGAGACCGGCAGAGATCTCTACCATGGCATCAGTTTGTGTTTGCCAGTTCAGGGTCTCATCGACTCGAGTAGCTAAGTATCCATAGGAGCTCACCCTAGACAGAGACTGCCCATTAACATTCACTTCAAAATTACGGTTCATCTGATTGAGCCCATATCTGCTAGCTATTTATAAGGTATTTTCGTCTTTTTGGTTTTAAGACTAAGCTTATTGGCATAAAGCCAAGAATGTACTATTTCTAGATAATGATTCAATTCAAACTTTAACATTTCAGGGTCAATTGCACATGGAGTAAGGTATGTATCATCTGCATACATCCTGACATAGGATGATAGAGAACAGGCTTTGAGATAGTTAATGTACATTAAAAAACAGAGGCCCAAGTATAGACCCCCGACGCACTCCACAGCTTGCGCTGTAAGGCATGTATCATCTGCATACATCCCGGCATAGGATGATAGAGAACAGGCTTTTTATATCTTAACGTACATTAAGAATAACAGAGGCCCAAGTACAGACCCCTGAGGCACTCCACAACTTATAAACTGTTCGTTTGAAAAGAAACCATTTATGCCTGTACGCTGCTTGCGGTTCGAAGGATAAGAAGTGAACCATCAGGAAAGCCAGAGCGAATCTACTCCATGAAATTTAAGCTTTTCAAGTATCAAAAACTTTCTTTAGGTCGACAAAGAGTACACTGTTCAGTTAACCATTGTCGATATTTAAATACCAATCATTTGTAGCTTCAAGGGAAGTTGAATGCATTGGTCTAAAACCATGTTGAGAATCTGCAAGAAGACCATGCTTACTTAGATAATTGTATCTGATTGAAGATAATCTTCTCAATTATTTTACTAACAATCAGCAGAACAGATATAGGCCTATACATAGGATCCAGCTTAGAGCCTTCCTTAAACAGTGGAGTTACTTTCACATTTTTCGAGTCATCAGGAAATATACAGCTCCTGATAGATGATAAATGATAAATGTTAACTGGTGCAGCTTCTTTCAGGAGCTTGCATGATACATGTATTCCATCAAGGCCACTACCCTTGTTAAAATTTAATGACTGAATTATATTATACATATCATTACTATTGATTTCATGTGTGAGTTGGTTTTAAGTATGAAATGAGAGAGTGAGAGTTGTTCAACATGCGTTCCTCTTCATTACATTAGCTGTCTTTATGCCTGACCTCAAGGTATTTTGTTCCATGTATTTTGGTCAGGAGAAAATAATTTTTTTTATTCATAATATTACATGTAAGTTAACATGCTAAGTTATAAATTTCAAGGATGTTTTAAGATCTACTCTGAAAGAAATCAAGTACTTTTTAAGGACCCCAACGACCATTAAGGGCATTTCAAGATGGCTGCTTAAATTCAAGACCTTTGCAGGATAATTTGTAAGAACCATGTTTAGTAGAGGCAGAAGACAAAAAAAATAACTGGACAGATCAGATTTACAGCCAAGAAGACTATACTGTACTGGTTAATGTTTGCGAAAAAAAAAGTTTTGCATCACAGATTTGACTGTGGTGTACAACAATGAATTTTATCCAGCTTATATCCTCTTCCCTCCCTGTACTCGAGAAACTCTGTTTTTATCTAAAAAAAAGCCTGTGCATGTGTCATAATAATAAAGAAGAGCTCTGGTGCACATTGTATGTATAAGAAACGGTGAGAGCATGACGGGAGGACAACACATGACAAAAATAAGCACTCACTCAAAAAGTAGTTTCCCTTTTGTTTACTGAGAACCCCAAAAAACAGCTGGTCAACTAAGATTGCGCAGAACACTTAAAAATTGTCCTGCTACTAATACAGTCATTTACAATGAAAATGATTACAAAGCTTGTTCAAAGTTGCATTTAGCTTTGGCATAGCAGGTTTAGTAGCCTATCTTCATGCCTTATCCACTGTCTGTTCACACTCCTTCTGCTTTTGAGGGTTCATCAAAGTTCTCAACTAATTCTGTGAAAAATAAGCAAAAAGGCAAATAAGTTTAATATCAGACCTAGAGGTGCTTGTACATGTCCGATGATAGAAAAATAGAAGAGCCTCAAAGAGCCCAGCCCTCTCTCTTTTTTCAGACAAAACTATAGCTCTCACTTTTTTTAGACCAAAACTGATAGCCTGTGTATCAAGGCCCCTTCCAGGTTAAATGCGACAAGCAATATGACCCAAGAAGTAGCGACAGAGTGTAAAATGAAATTGCGTCAAGAGACAACTTCCCTCAGCCAAATTGCGACAATGATGGCAAAGCCGAGAATAAGTGAAAAAGAATGGTGGTTTGGCTAACTTATTGGTTCAGAGAATGTTTCTTGTCAGTGTCAGTGAGCTTCAGTGGACCCCCCTTGAATTGTGTTAATTGTGAATGGTGATGTATAGGTGTTTAATACGTGAAATGTTAACTGAGAAATTGCAGAACAGTAATGGTTTCTTTACAACGCATCGCTATTCCCCTTTTCTTAAATTCTGACAAAGACAAAGGATTTTTATTCAATTTGCGACAGCGACATGAAGCATTTAAAAACACTGACACAAGACATTTCAAAATTCAGATGAGCAACACGGGACCCCAAGCACCACCTCCCCTCCCCCCCCCCCGCCACCCCTGGCAGGGCCTCTGTAGCAGGTACCAGTTTTTTAGGGTGAAAAGGCTAAAAATTGAGGACCCAAAGTTACCAAGTTACCGTGGTTCAGTTTCCATTTTTCTTGACCACAACCTTCAGTAGCACCTACCTGGCACATCATCATCATCAACATCTTCACTGGCGGGACCAGTTGGCACATTACCAATATCAGCTGCAAAAAACAGATCAACAACTTTGCATAAATAATGGTCATTGCAAACAAACACAGGCATTTACATAAACATGCTCGCTCGCTCGCTCCCTCACTCCCTCCCTCCCTCACTCACTCACCCACCCACCCACCCACTCACTCACTCACTCACTCACTCACCCTCTTCATCCAGGTTAGGACACAAGGCCAAAATCAAATGTCGCCACTCAACCCTGTTCTGAGCTTTCACTTGACCTGTGCTTCACCCCATGTTAGACCCATCTCCTTCAGCTTGTTCATCACCCTTCTCCACCACGCCCCAGTTGCTCAAAAGCTGGATAGCGCTGTCCACCGGACAAATCACTATCCAGTGGATAAGTGTTTAAAAAACCAATTGCACCGTCCAGCAGATAGAGATTTATCCGGCAGACAGCGATATCCAGCCTTTTGAGCAACTGGGCCCAGGTGGTTTTTGGCCAGAGACGTTAAAAGACTGGGCTTCACATAGAGTTTACATAGCTAGCAACAACTTAAGAGGGTGGTGAATGAGGCTTTAAGTGACACCTGATCAAATAACAAATCTCCATTTGATAAGAGGTTACTGGAAAGAGAATCTAGCAGTTTATAACAAGTTGCTTTGGGCTTTAAGCCAGGCACCCTTATTTATTTATTTATTTATTTATTTTGAACTCACTTGGAGGGAATCTCTCTGCCAGAGACCTCAGGTCAGACAATCCTTCAGCTCCCTTTGGAAACAAAAAGATTTCATTTTATACAGTGCATTGTGAGTTACTTCTGCAAAAACACTGGTGCCCTCTTAGCCTCACCGGTTTATTTATAGCAAGCTGTGAGTTAAATTTAGAAGATGAAAGAAATCTCCCCTGACTGTAGTTGTTATTCTAATACTATTCTCACCTCCGATCTTCCTGTTACTAGCCTACATCACAGATGTAACTTAACCTTGGTTTGTAACGTCTGCGAAGCAGTGCTGAGATCCTTGTTCTGTGCCCCAAACAGACTCAATGAATTACTGGAAGGGGGTTTTGAATTTCCCTTCAATCTGATTGGCAAATCGACAAAGCCTTTTTTAACAGGCCAATCATAGCCCGTACTCAAATCCTGGTACAAAGGTGAGGGCCCAGAACAAGGATTTCAGCACTGTTTCACAGACAGACTTAACCAGAGTTTAGTTTCGTCTAAGCAACAGGTTACCTGTTACCTGACCAAATTGTTTTTGTCGCTTTTTCCTTTGTTTGTTTCCCCTTCTACAGGGCTCGACGTTGCGACCTGTGGGGTCGCCAATGCGACTAGCTTTTTCTCAGTGGCGACCAAATTTTCACGCCTGGTCGCCAACCTGGCCCCCAAGATAGGGTATTTTCTACTCTGGAAAAACGTTCACTAATGATAATTTGTTATCCTTTACAAAACTAACGGATAGATAACGGTTTTTCTGACCCTCTAACGTTTTGCCTAAACGGTTTAACGGTGTATGTAAACGTTTTAACCATTTGTCTAAACGCTTTAACGATTTCTTCCAACACTCTAACGGATTGTTCTTATGATCTAACAGTTGGTCCGTCTGACGTTTGACTTTTACTTGAAAGAGGACTGTAAATTCGACGGAAGTCTTATCGACTTTCAAGCAAATTGATCGCAATTCTCAACAGGTCGTCCCATGTTTCTCTTGGAATGACTTTTGGCACATCGATTTAAAACAATCTCTTTATGTCGAACATGTATCTTGATTGCGGACTTTATAGCAGATTAGTCTGATAAAAGCCTAAGCTGATAGAGAACGAACGACGCTTATTTCTCAAGCTTCTGGTAAACAACTTTATGCAAATTTCTGTTGAGCCTGACGACCCTGCCATATTTTATTGACTTCTAATGGAGTACCGTTGAACTCAAAAGACATGCTGTTTGTCTAACAGACTTCTCGCGAAATCAAATTCTTTGCCCGAAAACATTAGCGACGTCTCCTCTTTCTGGAGACTTTCGATCACGTGCTAGGCAACCGCGAAACAGATCAAGTTTCACCGATGTTCATTTCTGAACATGCAAATACATGGGACGCAGAACAAATTTTGCAGACTTTGTTCTTTAATAAATAATAACCCAAATAAGATTTTTTGTGATTCCTAAAGTTTGTTTATCTAAATGTGTATTCCATTGCTTGAATACCTGTTTGAGGAGATTTACGCTTGAGTGTGGGTTCATTTCCCTGAACACTGGCTCGTAATCGAGCCTCGAGCGAAAACCGTTCGAAAGAAAGTTCAAGGAAGTCTAAAGCATTCTTTTTCTGTTAAGGCTAAGTAAAAGTTGTTAGGTTTATTGTATTCCATTAGTTCTTAAATGTAATTTTGGGCGACTAGAATAGTTATTCTGGCGACCAAACATGAAAACTTGGAGGCCAGCTGGCCCCAAGATTTTTTCTGAAAGTCGAGCACTGTTCTACTATAAATTTTCAGCAGGAACAAGCCAGAAAACCAATCAGTACAGGTGGTAGTCTTTTACAGAAAAAGTTTAGAATCTATATGTTGTGGTTCAACTTTATCCTTTGTTTAAATATTATTTCCCTTTGCTTTGGGTATGGAAATGTATGGTAATGTGTTTAAAACAAAGAGAAATAAAAATTAAACCAAGGATAAAATTGAACCACTACATGTACATGATAAAAAAATAAAAAAACAAATATTCTTACCAACTGATTTAAAATTCCAGGAAGCAATTCAGTAAGGGCTGTGCAAAACATTAAAAAAAAAAACAGATTAGCTACTGACTGCAATAAGAAATAAAAATTGTACTTGATCATGGTCAGTGTAAACAGCCCAAAAACCACCACATGAACAGGCTGCAACAAAAATGTACCTACAAGGTCTTGCATAAACATTTAACAAGTAAAGCTTTTGAAACTTTTTACAGAAACTAAGACATTATTTGCAGTGTTACACTGTAAATATGTTATGCACTAAAAATCCAAATCAAGGACGTTCAAAATAATGCTCGGCTGTAGGTACTATGCTAATACATTTACGCCAGACTAAAATGAGACTTCTCCATTTTGGAAAACCCCAAGACAGCCCTTATTCAGCATAGGGAAAAAGACACCTTATTGTAAAAGGTCATTATCCTCATTATTGTCATAATTTATCACCACTGTTGTTACGACATTACTACTGCTTTATTTTTTTTTTACCTTTATTTTCTGCTAGTCCATTCACAGCAAAAGTGTTTGCAGCAAGGGAAGCCTGCACTAAAATTGAAAGAAAATTACAAAAATTAAATACAATTTAAAGACGTTTACAACATATAGGACCATCTGTGCTAGAGGTAGGCCTGTAGCTGTGTGCTCAGTAGTATGCAATGAGCTTTGCACAATGCATGTTTTGGGCAGGGTGAGTAATATCTCCCTAGTCTGAATTTACAAATTTGTATTGGGGAGGAGGCCATGTTCCTATTGATATCACTACTGCAGTTACAGCTTGTCTTTAGGTTGTTTATCATCTTATTCTTATCTGTCTTATTTCCCTGTTGGAAATTTACCCAAACAGGGCCTCGCATGTCCAACATATTAAAGTACAAAAGGAGATCTACCTTTAGGATTAGTAAAATGAATAACCGTTCCATCATCTTTGAACATGTTCACCTACAATAGAAGAGATCTGAAATTAATATAATGTATAGCCAGGAGTGTTTGCGATTGTGATTATATTGGATCATGCAACCCTCTGCAGAGGTGTATGACAAGGAAGGTGAAACTGGTTAGGTTACATACTCAGGGAAATAAGAAGGTCTGAGGGCGAGATGAAGACCAAAACCTACTTGGAGAAGGGCCGTTGAGAAAAAGCAAAACAAAGTGGGCTGGAAGAGCTGCGAAGTAGCCAAAGCAGTTGCACGAGACCAAAAGTGTTGGTCAGACAGCGTGGGGCCATATGCAACTACTGGCGCGATGAGACATGATGATGATGATTTTTTTAGCCAGATTCACCACTTTTGCCATTGCACACATTTCTTCCTAGACATAGGTGATGCCAAAAGCATAAGAAAAAGGCATCACAAAAATAGTTTCCAATGGCAACCAGTTATCAATAACATCAGTAAGAACAGTACCAATAACAGCATCAGACAATGTCAAAAACAAAATAATATAAGAAATGTTGCACTATTGTTGACATGGTACAGAACTTAATTTGAAAACATGCAGTGGCTATTAACAGAGAAATGCTCTACACTCAGGGTGCAAAGAAAGTCAGTTTTACAGCTTGCCATTCGGGCAAGCTGTAGCTAGCATGTACTAGCCCAAAAGTCATTTCAATTAGCCCCCAAAAAATTTGATGAGCAGGATTGATTACAGTTCTTCTGTTATTCAAATTTCTCAAAAAATATCACTTGCCCATCTGGCAAGTTAAAAACAGAATTCACTAGCCTGATAGCAAACTCCACTAGCCCCGGGCTATCCCACACCACTTTCTTTGCACGCTGTACACACTACATACATGTAATGATGGTTTATGGAAACAAGCTTAAAACATTTTGATACAGTAGCACATTTACATAGACCACTCATTTCATCTTACATTTACAATAATTAACATTTACAATTAAATTACCTCTTCAATCCCAGGGATGGGATTAACAGAAAGTTTCTTGAGAACATTCTGCAGTTTCTTATCATCTGTTGTAGCTGTCTTGTGAACAACCTTCTTTTTTCTTCTGGGTGTACCCTGGAAAGAGGAGCAGGTACTGTACATACTTGGCAATCCTGGACAAAAGTCCTTGGGACAGTGACGCAGTATTCATAATTTTCTGTAATTTCTGGTTGCCTTCTAAAACTGTGTATCCTTTTCAAAATTTTCCTGCAGCTCTCCCGCTCCCCAGTCTATACAATATTGAAACTCGGAAAAATTCTGGATACATTCATCCAACGTTGTTTGTGTGAGGTAAAGGGGGGAAGGGGGTGGGGGAGGAAGAGTTGATATGTGTGAATTGAAAAACGCCCCACCAATGTAAATGTGTCCCAAGCATTTTGTCCATGATTATAGTTCCAATTTTTTAGAGTATTGCAGCTTCATCAAATAAATAATATAATAATATCCAGAAGTACAATAAATACATATTGGCTCTGAAGACAAAGCACTAGACTGCAGAGAGCGAAGTCTCCGGTGCCATCACCAGTTAACCAATACTCGGAATCTTTTAATAACTGAGCAGGAAGGAAGGGTAGACCTTTACATACCTGAGTTTACCATGTAGATATGACAGTCCTGTCTCCATTGGGAGACATAAAAACAATGTCCTCAATAATATTTTTGTGCTAGAAACATTGACATTTCAACAAATTCAGTTTTTCCTCTTACCTTTCCTCCTATCCTCACATTATTTTGAAGTTTTGTCAACTTTTCTTGATTCATTTCTTAGTCTGTAAGTAAATAATGGACATGTGTAGTTCAAAATGAAGCTAAGGTGAACATGGTTTCAATTTTGCTTGATTCTCAATTTCATTTGCCTTGCACCTAGACCTAACTGTTCATGATTATGAACAAATAACAGGGTGCTCATTGAGCATCGGGGATCAGAGAATTCTCCGTTTACTAGGCTAAATTCTCTTCCTAATGGCTCATACAGTGGAAACCCGCCTTACGGACACCTCAATAATATGATCACCTCATTACTACGGCAAGTTTTTTGCGGCCTGGCAAAACAGCCATACATTTCCTTATAATAAAACCCTGTTAATGTGGTCACTCGTTAATACAACCAACGGCTACATTTTAAATCCCAAACCAGGGCTCGAAATTAAAAAAAATGTCTGGTCGCAAATTTGCGACTAGTTACGAAAATTTGGTCGCAACTTTGAAAATGTTAGTCGCGAAATTAATTGAGGCCATTTAATCAAGAAATAAGTAGGCTTTTAAATGATTAGAGCTTTAATATTCATTCTTTCAACAGCTTTCATGTCATTTCGAGACTTAATAGTACAGAATGTTTAGCGTCTCCGACAACACCAGTTCATCTAAACGATCAAGTTGAACCTGCGTTAAGGCACATAAATTAGTGTCTGTTATTTTAGTCAAAGCGATAGATTTCCAAATCATGAATAGATATTACAGCAGGAAACTGCAGTTCTTAAATGCCTCCAATCTCTGCGAAATAGCAATAACATTTGTACTGGGCGGACATCCGACATGGTTACAGGTTACGTTACGTAACTAAATTCCTTTAGTTTTACCTTTTGCAGGTTTTCCACCGATGACAAAACAAGTAACGAATTCTTTTATATATTAAGCTTTACATCTGAAGTATCAGGGGTGTTACTACAGTGATTATTCAAAGAACCCTGAAGGACTGAATCATTCAATACGACAATACGTGCCATGCAGACATTCCGCCATCTTTGTTTGCTAAACCTCTTTTTCATGTATACGTAGATTCGCAACCCACTTGGAACCAATTTATTTTACGTGTAAATCTTTTTTTTTTAACTAACCGTTACTGTCAAACGAGAAACAATGAAGCCTTAAGTACTCATTTTTTACCAACGAAAGTTATTGACTCCAGTTTTTCTGCTTGTTTCTGTTCCTTCGATCTTGCTCAGTGACTAACGATTGTATGCAGTTGTTATTTCACGAAACGAAATATGAGCCTGCAATGTACATGTTTACAGAACCCGCTGAAAATGGCGTGCTGTTGAAGGAATATCGTTGCGTAAATGCATTCCAGGTAAATTACGGTAAACCTTCAGATTGTAACAAAATTATAAGACGCTACTTCAATGAATCTTTTTATTTCTAAATTTATTTAAGCAAAAATTCAAGTGCTAGTCCTTTTATTTCGTATCAGTTAAGGCAAAACCTAGTCGCAAATTTGCGACTAGTCTCGTTTTTCTAGTCGCAAATAAGAAAAATTAAGTCGCAAATGCGACCGTATCGCTCGCAATTTCGAGCCCTGCAAACTGTAGAATCTCTTATAATTTCACCCCGTTAATATGGCCACTCATTCAAAATTTAGAAAATTAAAATGCCTGTGACATGTCAATTTTATTGACCTAGTAATCTGAGCTTGTTCTTATACTGTTTTTAGACTACAGTACACTAAAAATGCACTTGTAGGGATTTGTATAGGTAACAGCATGATTTGTAGCGATATTTGGCATAAATACCACAAGTGATATTTCGAAATTGTTATACGTAATTTCACGAGCCGTTAGGCGAGTGAAATTTGAGACATTTTGAAATATCACTAGTGGTATTTATGCCAAATATCACGTACAAATCATGCTATTATTTGTTTATACTACTACCCACAAAAGGTTTGTAATTTTCACGTGTAGGTATTTCAAATTAAGTTGAAATACCACTGCTCTAAGCCAATCAAATTGTAGAAATTTCTCATGTAGTAGTATAAATAGCCAAATTTTAAAATAATTTCATGTAATGAAAGAACATTTTAGGTAGTTTTTTCAATTACTGTATGTGATATCTACATTCCAGTTGTTTGATAATGAGAACAGTACGATGAATGCGATGTACGGTGTATTTGTCATTACGGCCATCACGTCATAAAATTTGAGCCTGCCCCCATAATATGGCCAAACCGTTAATCTGGCCAAATTTTTTTGGCCCATTATTGACCATGTTAACAGGGTTCCACTGTAGTTCCAAGTGCTGCTTGGTGTGAAACATTATTGCCAGTTGTCTATTAGCCTTATTTTACCTTGTATGGTAATAACTTAACGTAATTACATTAATCAGTTCAGTTTGAGCTTATTTCCTTGATTCATGTATTTTTCATAGACTACCACCTCCCATAAGTGACGAGTTTGTCAAGCACCAAAGAAGGTCGCTTACGAAAGAGCTGACACTATACAGTTTAGAATAACAAAAATTACACCTATCTAGAAATTCGAGAGTGAAAAAGCAGATGAACAAAAAAAATATTAAGTAAAGCTTATGCCTAAGAAAAGAAACAGGCTTATATTAGAGCTCATTCAAGTTTCAGTCAAAAGACTTCGTTTGAGCATATTTCCTTACACTTCAAAAAACAGACTGATTGTAGCAGCAGGCAATGGATTTTACTTATAGATATGAATAATATTATTACATTGTAAGGTAGAATGATGGTGGAAAAGGATCAGCTTATTTCCACACCCGCTAAGTATAATTTTAACACATGCAATCTCTAAAGATTCCATTCGTTTCTTGTGGCGGTTAAGGTAACTGTAATTTTATGTACAGAATTGGGATCTTTCCTGAGGCCTAACTTCGGATTTTCAATCACTATTAAAACCCAAAAAAAAAGTCCCTACCGTTCCATAATAATCAATTGATTTTTTTCTCATCTTATCTCGATTATCGACCCTATGTAAGCTTAGATTGCAGCGTGCTAAAGCGACGAACATTTCAAGAACATGTGAATTTGGTTGTCCGAAGACTGGAGCCCCAAGTTGAAAATAAACAGAACACCAGGCAAAAGGACGCTAAAACTTACCTATTTGTTGTATTTGAAACAAAAAAGGAGCGTACGTTCCGTTAAAATGTCATCAAAAAGGTTTTCCTTCGCTAAACACGAGGATGACTTGATGGGCACGATGGCGTAAGAGAACATGCCCTCGTTGCGCATGCGTGCATTTCGTATCGTGAGAGACTGGGACGAGCTGAAGGCTTTGCATTTATTTACGTGAAAGGAAAGCTGGCGTGGGGAGGGGCAGCATCAAGCAGTTTCTAATATAATAAACTTTTATACCGATACGGTGACCATATTGAATTTATTAGATTTAAGGAGTATAGAGTACTAAAGTGATGACGTCATAAAAATGAAATTTCCAAAATTATGGGATTTGTCAGGATATTCTGAAAGAACAATGTCCAAGAGGCCTACTTGCCAAAAATGAGCATTTTGCGGCAAATTGTCTCTGAGATCGTAGCCCAGTTATACACAGAAAACTCCATACAAAAATTTAGAAGGGTTTGTATGGAGTTTTGTAAGCATAACTGGGCTACGATCTCAGAGACAATTTGCCGCAAAATGCTCATTTTTGGCAGGCCTCTTGGACATTGTTCTTTCAGAATATCCTGACAAGTCCCATAATTTCAGAAATTTCATTTTTATGACGTCACACTTTAGTACTCTATTACGGGATGCCAAAGGGGCACTCGCTCAGCATTTACGCAAGCTTTTTGGGCAAAAAGAGAACTTCACTGTATATTTCTCGGGAAAAAGGCGATCCTTATTACATCCAACACGGCGCGCACAACGATCTTATTTTCCCATTAGATTACAATCTTTTTCTAGGAAAACTTGAGGAGAAATTGGCCCGAAAAGCGCGTGTAAATACTGATGCGAGTATATGAGATCGTGCTCATGCCCCCTGGGCATCCCATAATACTCCTTAAATCTAATTCATATTTAATATGGTCGCCGTATCGGTAAAAAGGTCTATTTCTGTTTGTTTCTGTTCTTGCAACTATTCAGTATGACAGGAGCCGAATGAGATAATTTCGCTGATCACTCCGGCACGCTATGAACCGAGGCCAGGAGCCCCTGCCGAGGCTCAAAAGGGCTCAAAAGAACTTTAAGCCCAGGAAATCATGACACAGAATAAATCTTAACCAGTATTCAGTTACGGTATTTCCCGATCTCCCTTTAATAGATTTAATTTGTAGAGAGGCTTGCATCAGACGTTATAGTAAAATGAGTGACTTGAAATGTGGACTCCGGTTCCCTGATCCCCCAGGAGGCGAACCTTTTGTTTAGCGCCAAAGTGAGTGGAGCCTTCTTTTGTTGCTACGCATACGATTTGCGCAACACCAGAAGATCTTGAAAATCAGTAAAAGACGGTATCTCTTGCAACAATGTAATTCTTGGATGAAAATGGGACGGAGGCCTAGGTTGTTTTAAAAAAGCATTTATCACATTTATCACCCCCCCCCCCNCATTTTTATGACGTCACACTTTAGTACTCTATTACGGGATGCCAAAGGGGCACTCGCTCAGCATTTACGCAAGCTTTTTGGGCAAAAAGAGAACTTCACTGTATATTTCTCGGGAAAAAGGCGATCCTTATTACATCCAACACGGCGCGCACAACGATCTTATTTTCCCATTAGATTACAATCTTTTTCTAGGAAAACTTGAGGAGAAATTGGCCCGAAAAGCGCGTGTAAATACTGATGCGAGTATATGAGATCGTGCTCATGCCCCCTGGGCATCCCATAATACTCCTTAAATCTAATTCATATTTAATATGGTCGCCGTATCGGTAAAAAGGTCTATTTCTGTTTGTTTCTGTTCTTGCAACTATTCAGTATGACAGGAGCCGAATGAGATAATTTCGCTGATCACTCCGGCACGCTATGAACCGAGGCCAGGAGCCCCTGCCGAGGCTCAAAAGGGCTCAAAAGAACTTTAAGCCCAGGAA